AAAGACATCTTGTCTTCCACAGTGTGATGTGGCTTATCTTGTACACAGGACTTATACTACTGCTTAAGACGTAACAGTTAGGATTTATCAGGGATGGGAAAGTAATTTGTTCAGCTTGCATTCTAATAAGTCCCACTTAATTTGTACTTCTTAAATGAAAAACCAGATTGAAATGGATGTATTGTTTAATATTTGTACTGACTGTTCAATATTGAAGTACAAGTTTGCACTGTGAGATGAGAGTGCCATGAACAAGGCGAGAGAAAGGGAATGGTGTGCTTCTATCCACCACATCTTCTGAATATTTAATAGGATGTATTAGGTTCCCAAGAGTATAAGAGGTAACTCTTGGCATGTAGGTATTTTCCCAGGGGTGGCAAATAGCAAATGGAAGACAGCTACTTCACCAGGAAAAAGACATTGCTTGGAGACATGGAATACATAGATGGGTTTAGTGAGAACTGAATGACATGCAATGCAGTGCTTTAAATATCAAGGTTCTAGTGGCAAAGAAAGGAAATAATAGTCAATGTTTACCTTCTTGCATGTCACTTCTGTAGTTATTTTTAAAATGTGAACACTGTAAAGATAAAGGTTTCCCCTTGACATTAAGCCTAGTCGTGTCCAACTCGGGGTGGGGGTGGGGGTGGTGGTGCTCACCTCCATTTCTAAGCCAAAGAGCTAGTGTTGTCTGTAGACGCCTCCAAGGTCATGTGGCCAACATGACTGCATGGAGTGCCATTACCTTCCTGCTGAAGCAGTACCTATTGATCTACTCACATTTGCATGTTTTTGAACTGCTAAGTTGGCAGAAGCTGAGGCTAACAGCAGGAACTTACCCTGCTCCCCAGATTGGAACCACTGACCTTTCGGTCATCAAATTCAGCAGCTCAGCAGTTTAACTTGCCACACAACTGAGTTCTCCTTACACTGTACAAATGATAAATAATGGTATTTCCTGTAATGTATTGCCTTTTGAGGCAGTGAGGGCACAACAATGGTCCTTTTGCAAAATAACATAGCAAGTAGTAAAAGTGTTACGTTGGAGGCAGGGATAACAATGACCATTAGAAATGGTTGGATTTTCAGGGAAATTTGGGACTTTTTTCTCTTTTTAAGAATTAAAAAAACAAAAGGTTAGCTAAAAAGGAAGACTTGGGTAGTGTTATTGTTGTGGTCCACCCTCAAGTCACATCTGGCTTACAGTGACTCTATTTAGCCTGTTGTAGGACTTTCTTAGCAAGAATTCTTTGGAGAGGATTAGCATTGCCTTCCTCTGAAGCCAAAACAGTTTCGTTTTCGGCTTTCTTGGAGGACCATTGAGGCTTATGACAAATTCCTGAGGCCAAATGTTGGCTTATACTTTTCCAGAGCTTCTCCACCCTTGTTTTAGACAACAGCAAATATTATTTTGCTCTACAATATGATAGCAGTAGGTGATACAAAGTCCTCGTTATGGATTTGACAGCATCCTTCATATTCCAAAATCCAAAATTGTCTACATGGGCATCTGAGATAGTGACACCTTTGTTTTCTGATGATTTAGTGTACACCACCTTGGTTTCATTCACAAAATTATTACAGATATCATATGAAATTACCTTCCAGTTATGTGTATATGAAATAGAAATGATTTTTTTGAACTTTGGTACCCATCTCTGATATATCTCATTATGTACATAACTTACAATTTTGTATTCTAAAATCCCAAATTTAAGACACTACTTGTCCCAAGCATTTTGGATAAGAGATGCTCAATCTTATTAGATGTTCTTGATCTTGAGGAGAGCAGGGCTAGAAATACAATGTTTGCTTTTGAAATCAAGCAAAATCAATCTTTGGGTTTTTTTTTTGTTTTTTGTTTTGCTTTCTGTACCAGAATCTATTCTATTTGAGGGAAAAATTCATCAGTCATTTTCTCTCCATTTTTGGTATGCTTTTGCTGTGTTTTTGCTTTGACCCAGTTCTTAGCATGGGGCTTTCCCCCTGACGTGACCTTTCTTATTTTCTTTCCTTTTTTAATGGCAAGATTTTACCAACTAACATAAAAGCTAAATAAACAGTTGTGGCTTTTGGGCACAACAGTTTTGTTGTGGCCAAAAGCCACAACAAAAGCTTAAGCCGTGCCAAAGACAAGAAATCTTGCAAGGGAGCATGGTTTCTATTCTAGCTGTGGCATGTTAACCAAACCTTACCCAGTGGCCACACTGGCTTTTATTTTTCTTTTGGATCCCGTTAAGATGAAGTGTGAACTCTCTGCTGAATCAGCTGCTCTTCCTTTTGTTCATTCCTTTTTTCTTATGTACTCTCATCTGCCTCCTCTTACAAAGACTTTCATCTTGACATTTCCACATATTTATTTTTATTTATTTTAAAAAAAAATATCCCACCCTTCTCACCCCGCAGGGGACTCAGGGCGGAGCACAACATATATACAGCAAACATTCAATGCTGGGACATACAATCATAAATATATACAAACATTATCACAATCAGTGGCAAGGTGGGAACTCTTGAAGTGTTGGGCTGTCATCTTGAAGATCCTCTTAGCTATATTTCTAAAGAAGAACCGCATATACAGGTTAATGTGTTGATCCACATTTTAAACAGAATGAAACCAAAACAACATATTCCGTCTCTCCCATAACATTTTAGGCTACTTGTAGACTGGAAATGACTTGAAGGCACATACTAACAGCAACAATGGGTTTTCATTGCCACATTGAGCTCAAGCTACCCCTAAAGGCTTTACATGGCAACAGGAATCACAGATGACAACATTCTGCTATTGGTAAACTCCAGTTACTATGGGGTTTGCAGAGGACTTCCTTGTCTTTCCTGATCGGAAAGTGCCAGTGTTTGGATTCCATGAGCCCTGACTTCACTTCATTCTGCTTTGTGAAGAAAGGCATTTTGCAAATAGAAAATAATAATAATAATAATAATAATAATAATAATAATAATACACTTTATTTATATTCTGCCCTTCTCCCCTAGGGGACTCAGAGCTGATTACGGCATTTACATACATAGGAAAACATTCAATGCCTTTACAATCATATACAATGAAGACATACAAACCCAAACAAAGGTAAAGGCGTCTCCTTTCATTTCCGACTTCTGGAGGCAATGCTTATCTCTGGCTCTGGGGAGGTGCTTTTCTCCATTTTGAAGTTGAGCCTGCATTGTTGCCTCCTGGTTATGTGGACAGCAAGATTGCTTGGAACGTCTCTTTGCCTTTTCCCGCTGAAGCAGTACCAATTTATCTACACACATTTGCATATTTTCAAACTGCTAGGTTGACAGGAGCTGGAGCTGACAGATGGGAGCTCAACCTGTCTCGCAGATTTGAACTGCCGACTTTTAGGTCAGCAGCTCAGCCAACCTTCAGGTCAGCATTTCAGCAGCACCCATTGTACCACAGTGGCTCTGCTTGGGTACTCAATGGTTTATGGTTGACTCCCATAGGAGCCAGCATGGGGTAGTGATTTGAGCATTGGCCTATGACACTGGAGACCAAATGTCAAATCTCTGCTCAGCCATGGAAGCCTACTGGGTGACCAAGGGCAAGCCACATTCTCCTAGCCTCAGAGGAAGGCAAAGGCAACTAAATAAATCTTGCCAAGAAAGCCTCATGATTATTCATTCTTGAGGTTGCCCATGAGTTGGAAATGACTTCAAAGCACACAACAATGCCTAAACATCCATCTCAGAATTTTTTTGTAGTTCTGCTTATCCATACTGACCCATTTGGCTCAAATCTGTATCTTTCTACTCACAAAGGGAAAACACCTTTGAGAATGTTATTTTTAACTGATGTTGTCGCTATGTGTCTTCAAGTTAACGCCAATATGGACGACGAAACTGGATCACGATTTTAGTCAGGAGATGCATTGGATTGTTATTGATGTGCGAATATTGTGTATCATGCTTTTATGGTTTTAAATTGTATACTGTTGATTGTTGTATTTTGTTGTAAACCGCGTTGAGTCGCCGGCTAGGCTGAGAAACAGCGGTATACAAGTATAGCAAATAAATAAATAAATAAACTGATGTGGTCTATATCATAGGTTTTCTGGGGAGAAAAGTCAAGTCAAATTAGAGGAGGTCTTCCATTTTTCTTCCACTTAGACTGAGAAAGGTGTGGCTTCCCCAAGGTCAGCCAGTGAGTTTCTATAGTTGATTTGGGATTTCTTCCAGTTTGGTTCTTAACTTGTGGTCCATGGATCCCTGTCAAGGATGTGATGTCCTCACATCGGATCCATGTGGACTTGGAAGGTATCTTAAGAAAGAAAGGAAGGGAAGGGAAGGAAGGTGGATGAACAAACATACATTAATCTCAAGGAGCAGTAGTCTTTCCCTTATGTACATAAGAGTAAAGTAAACATTAAGAACTGCTGTTTTGAGAGAAAGGCAGAATATGAATCAAATAAAGAAATAAAACAATACAATATCTAATATTTATCTCTTGCTATTGAGCCCCTCCTTTGCCTGCTCTGCCATTTTCTCTTGTTGTTAAGTCTCACATAGACAACATTGTGCATTAAAAGTAATTGGGGAACTGTGCTATCCAAATCAGAGGCGGCCCTAGGTAATTTTCAATGGTAAGCAAACAGTATTTTGCCCCCCCCCCCAATCACTGATACATATTTTCTGTTCGTCGTGGTAGTTCTGTTTGCCATGTTTGGTTCAATTCCATCATTGGTGGAGTTCAGAATGCTCTTTGATTGTAGGTGAACTATACATCCCAGTGACTACAACTCGCATATGTCAAGGTCTATTTTCTCCCAAGAGCACCTCAAGAGCGCCCCTGGGCAAAATCAACTATACTGTAAATGCTTACTTTGTGTAATGGTTGAGCCGCCCCTGATCCAAATAAATAAGCTCTGTCGTCTTGGTAGAATCTAATATCTCGGCAGACAGTTAAATGCATGCTTATAGTCACTCCAAATGTTATTGAAAGACTTCTGGAATAAAGGGCCTAAAATGATGTTTTGCAGATTAGCCTACCAAAGAAATGATGACGATGATGAAGAAGCTGCCAGAGAACGTCGTAGGCGGGCCCGGCAGGAACGGCTAAGGCTCAAGGAAGATGATGACTTAACAGGGCAAGGGACAGAGAAGACTGAAGTCAATGTACAGAACAAGTAAGTCTCTGTGTTACTAAATGTTGGTGGACTGTCTTTCCACTGCCTACCTGATTGCCAGGTTTTTTAGTCACATTAGGAGCATTGAACAATTAACTATTTCTGCAGTTTAACATGGTGTTGTCTAGCTCCCATTTTACCGGAAGGTCCAGCGGCTGCTTTCAAGAGAATGTACTTGAAATTTAAGCTGTGTTTATAATCAGTGGCTTGTTTTCAAATGTGTACTTTGAGCAGATGCAAAGCAAGCATGCAGCAATTGTTCCCACTTCCCGGTACTATAGAAATTCAGCCTACCAGCTGGAAATCTCTTACCACATTTTCCGCACAAACTCCAGACATAAACACTGTTTCTTGTTCTTGTTTAAAATCTGCTTTTCAGTCCTGGGGAGCTGAGTGAATGCTGTATGAGAACCAGTATCGCTGGAGTCCATTCTTGCTTCCTATCTTCTCAAAAGTCTCCAGTTCACTTTCCCCACAAAGGAACTGTTTCTGCAAGTTGACCCTGGGACTTGGGAGGATGCATAGACTCTTAGGCAGAGCATGAATTTCTGATCCTACACTGCCAGTTATGCATTTGTTTGTTTATTTACTGTATTTATATACCGCTTTTCTCACCCCTGGGGGGGCTCAAAGTGGTTTACACAGAAATAGTGGCAAATTTCAATACCTTACATACATACACCAAATTCCAATCAACACCATATAACTAAGCATAAAATCAATAGGACAAATCATATAAGATAAGATAAAAGGACATTTAAAACATGAAATATAAGAGGTAAACACCTAATAAAACATTAAAATCACATAATCCAAGTATGTAGACCGGGCCATTCCAAATGTCGATTGCACATATTCCATATTTCATAGAATCATAGAATCCTAGAGTTGGAAGAGACCTCATGGGCCATCCAGTCCAACCCCCTGCCAAGAAGCAGGAATATTGCATTCAAAACACCCCTGACAGATGGCCATCCAGCCTCTGTTTAAAAGCTTCCAAAGAGGGAGCCTCCACCACACTTGCTTCTTGTATTGTGTTACTTTACTAGTCAAAAGGTTGGTTCCATAGCCATGTTTTTGTTCTCTTTATAAAGGCCAGGAGGGAGGGCGCTGATCTAATCTTACTGTGGAGAGAGTCCCAGAGCCAAGGAGCCACCTCTGAGAAGGCCCTGTCTCTCGTCCCCACCAAGCACACTTGGGAAGCAGGTGGGACCAAGAACAGGGCCTCCCCAGAAGATCTCAACTTCCTTGATGGTTCATAGAGAGAGATATTGTTGACTGCCAGTTTTTTCCCTGTAATGTGTTTCCTTCATCAGGACAAGTAGTCTTTAAAAAGAACCAATTTCATAGTTTAGTTTTGCAAAGTAGAACGCTTCACAAGCTTGTCTATACCGCCAATCAATTTTGGCTGTGTTTCCGATCACAGTACAACATGTTGGCTATGACTTACTAAACCCTATACGGCTTACTTCAAAGGCTGACTGTTTTCTCTCCACATGAGCTTGCCCGGGCCATGAGATTCTCAGAAGAGATCTTGCTCTCAGTCCCACCACTTTCACAGACATGACTGGTACGATATGAGATAGACCTTCCTGCTGACTATCTCGATGTCCTTCCAGTGGCAGAAAAACCATTTTTATCCCAACAAGGTTGCAGAACTACATTTTTAAAGAAAGGGCTGTGTCATTTTTATTGAAATGTTTTTACAATCTTTTAATCCTTTTAATGTACACTGTGGGCCCTTGGTATTTACCTGTCTGAACCCAATTTACCTGTCCAAATGCATCTCCCTCTACGAACCATCATGAGGATTACAATCTTCCAGGGAGGCCCTGCTCTCCGTCCCGCTACTTTCTCAGGTATGATTAGGAGGGACGAGAGAGAGGGCCTTCTCAGTGATTGCCCCTCGGCTATGGAACTATCTTCCTAATGAGATTAGGTCAGCCCCCTCCCTCTTGTCCTTTAGAAGGATGATAAAAGCATGGCTGTGGGACCAAGCCTTTGGGACTGTGTAATGAGGCAGCAGTAGGAACTCTTAGTATGCCAACCAAATTCGATATGGTTGTTTGAGACAGTTTTAAATAGAGGATTTCAAAATCAAGATAAGTGATTTTAATTTTTTTTGTATGTGTATAGTCTAGTATGTTTCGACATTGAATATTTGCCATTTATATGTTGTGCTCCACCCTGAGACCCCTTTAGGGTGAGATGGGCGGAATATAAATGCTTTAAACAAATAAATAAATAAATAAATAAATAAATAAACATTGACTGGTGTGTCTGTTGTATAAAATAGTAATATAATGTCCATTGTATAAAATTAGAGTGGGTAATCAAGGCTGATTTTTTTATTTGGGGGGCGGTGCTATTTTTTAAGCCATGGATGGTTGAAAATATTTTGAATCCATGGATATGGAGGGACAACTGTGTGCTTTTTATTTTTTTAAATACTGTAATAGTTATTGGAATATATGGAATGACTATGGAACGGCTTGGATTACCACTATGGATGGTGTGACTTTAATATGGATTGTAATGTTTTTTAATATTTCATATGCTTTAATTTAATTTAATTTAATTTAATTTTAATTTTTGGAATTGTATGTGTTTTAAGGCATTGAATAATTGGCTCTGTGTAAGCCACCTTGAGTCCCCTTCGAGGTAGAGAAAGGCAGGGTATAAATAGAGTAAATAAATAATATTCCTGATTATTACAAATTCTGTACATACAGATCTTTGACATTTCTAGTTAAAAGAGAGTGCAATGTGAAATAACTTGGAAATGTTATTTTTTCATGCTGCTTCAGATTTCTTGTTCTAGTCCAAAAAGCAAGATTTCCAGACTGCCAAGGCTCTGGAGTCACGTTCAATCAGAACAGACAAGATCAGACTAGATCACTGTCTCCAGACTTTGATCCTCAGATGCTTTTACTTCGGCTCCCAGCTTTTATGACTGTTGACCAAGATGGCTACAGCTTCTGGAAGTTGAAGTCTAAAAAATCTGGAGGACCAAAGTTTAGGAACACTGAACAAGATGGACAACCAGATCTTATATCAGTTAACTCCCTAAATATCCTCCATGTCTTTATCAGGCTTATCCAAGTAGCCTGTTGGGTTTCAGAGCTGCTTCATGTTTTTGTGTAAGCTGTTGTTCTGTGGTTCATATAAATTCTTTGCCTTATAGCATTGGAGACGAAGAGACCAAAAGTACTACAACTGTTACAAATACTCAAGGTGATGGGGATGATGATGCCCTGTTCTTGGAGAGGATGGCAAGGAGAGAAGAAAGGCGTCAGAAACGTCTCCAGGAAGCCCTGGAGCGCCAAAAGGAATTTGACCCAACAATTACCGACGAGAGTCTGTCCCTGGCCAACAACAGAAAAGTGATGAACAACTTTGAAGAAAATGAAACTCCAGACAAAGAGGAAAAGGTGGAAACCCAGAGGCGACGCTATGAGGTGGAAGAAACTGAAACCATCACCAAATCATACCAGAGGAATAACTTGAGGCAAGAGGAGGAAGATGAGAAGAGAGATGAGGAAGATAAGGAGGAGACAGAAGAGGACAAGCCCAAGGAAAGAGCCGTTGAGGATAATCAGGTAGAAGTAACATTAGAAAAGAAAACAGACACTGAGGAGGAAGCGGTAGTGTTGGAAATAAAACATCCAGAGGTAAACGCAGAAGAGGAAAAAGTAGAGAATGACATAAATGTCCTATTGGGAAGTGGGGAGGCCGTAACTGTTACAGTCGCTCTGGGTGAGACAGATGCAGAAGTGGAGGATGAAACAGAAAGGAAAGAAAGAGAGGAGAAAGAGAGAGCAGAGAGAGAGGAAATGGAGCGAGCCAAAGCTGAGGAGCAAAGGAAAGCAGAGGAGGAGAAGGAGAGGCTTGAAGCAGAAAAGAGGGCAGCTGAGGAAAAAGAGAGACTAGAAGCAGAAGAAAGGGAAAGGAAAGAACAGGAGAGGATTAAAGCCGAGGAGGAAAGGAAAGCTGCCGAGGAAAAAAAGAGAATTGAAGAGGAGGAGAAAAGAGCTGCCCAGGAGAAAGAGAGGCAGGAAGCTGAGGAGAGGGAAAGGATTAAGGCAGCTGAAGCAAAGAAAGCAGCTGAAGAAAGAGAAAGGGCGAAGGAAAAGGAGAAAAGGGAGGCTGAGGAACAGGAGAAAGCTAAGGCAGAGGCTAAGAGGGCAGCTGAAGAAAAGGCTAAGTTAGAAGAAGAAAGGTTAAAAGCTAAGCAAAAGGCCGAGGACAAAAAGGTAGCTGAAGTGAAAGGGAAGAAGGGAGAAGAGAAGAAAATAGAAGACAAGCAGGTAAAAGAGAAGAAAGTGCAAGAAGAAATCCCCTCAGCAGCTTCCCTAAGAAAGAAGGTACAGTAAACATTTTGCACCCAATCAGCTTCTGCCTGTGTTTTGTAGCAAATGTCAATGCATTTTATGAAATGAACCAACAAAACTGGATTGGAACTTGCTCACATTTTTCTCTCTTCACATTTGCCTAACTAACTCTTGCCACCCGTGACTCCTCTTTGAACTTAAACTTGCTTCCACCTTGTCTGTAACTCAGTCTGTGCATGACGTGTAATGAAGTTGCTTCCTTTTTGACTCTTGGGTCTTTTCACTGAAATGTGTGCATGCTCTGTATTCTCCACAGTTTCCTTGCTTTCTCTTTCTATGGCTGTAAAAAATTGACCAAGGGCAATAGCTGAGCGCATATGCAAGTACCAAGACACAGCACGGGCTGCGGACAAGCACCCAGCGAACATACATGGTGTGACGGCTTCAATAAGCATCCCTGAGAATTAGCCAGAGCTCTGCTGTGATATGTGAGAACATGGGCACACCAAAATATGGAAGGAAAAGTGCAAATGTGCAAGAAGAATGTGGAAGTCACAGTGCCACTCAGAGTGCGTTGTGAGCACAGCAGGCGGCGGCACGGATTGAGGGGGTATGTGAGCACAGCTTGGTTGAAGCACCCGCTGCAAATGTTGTATAGGGAGAGCTGTACAATTGATGTTTTCATCTTACAAAACATATTGCACAAGGGGGAAGAGAAAGAGGTTAAAGTGGAAGCTAAAAAAGACAAGTTACAAGACGAGAAACTTCGGCCGCCGTTCCGAAAAGAAGAGGTAACTATTTCCAGATATTCCTGATGATTTCCAAGGAGTTACTCAGCAAAAATCACTGATACAATGTCCCCTGCTTGGCTGGAGCCATGAGAACTGGTCCCAAATTCATCCTTTCATATTGACAGGTTGATTGATGGCACTTATAAACCACCTGATAACAGTGGGTGGTGTACATATTTAATACTTTAAAGGAGCCTTTGATGCTGGGTTTCTAAACTAGCACCAACTATTCTTTCATTCCTTAATTTCTCCCTTTGCCTCATCATGACTTTTCTTCTTGAGATGATTGATTTCTTCTATTGGATATCCTCAAATACCTTTAGCCCCTCAATCTGAAACTAACTAATGATTTTCCATTTCGCAATACAATAAAAGTTTGCAGACACCAGGTTCAGTTGTCTGCAATGGAAAGATTTACCAAACATAATGCATTGCATTTCTGCTATAAACACAGGAGCTGGTGCCATGGTGTTCAGCTGTATGGTAAGTAAAGAATATGGGGCCTGGTTCTCATGGTACAGGGATAGTTGCTGATGTTTTCTCCCGTGAGCATGGGAAAACCCATTTATTTACCCTCTTTGTCACTCATGCACCTAATTCAGTGAAAATCATATAGGTAAATAGTAGGCCTGGGTAACAACGCAAAAATTTGTTTCTAAAATCGATTTGTATTTGGGGGGTTTTTGCGTTTCGATATTTAAAATAATTACAAAACTTTCCTTTAAAAAAGTTCAGTATTTACGAAATTTCGTTAATATTAACGAATTGATTCTTTAAGATGGCGGGCCCCCCGCGCATGCGCAAATCACCCCCGGAACTTCGTTATTAAGACGGGGATCGATTAGTTAAGGTGATAACGAATCGATTTGTTAAAAAAAGAAATATTTACACACACAGGCACACAAGGGTCTTTTCTTTTTTTAGAATATTTTTTGAATTTTTTTGAAGAATAAAAGAAATATATTTTTCAGAAATATTTAAAAATGGAAAATTAACAATGCTTGCCCTGTTGTGGAGTGAACACAGCCACAGGACAGGGACAAACTCACACACACAGGCACACAAGGGTCTTTTCTTTTTTTAGAATATTTTTTGAATTTTTTGAAGAATAAAAGAAATATATTTTTCAGAAATATTTAAAAATGGAAAATTAACAATGCTTGCCCTGTTGTGGAGCGAACACAGCCACAGGACAGGGACAAAGTCACACACACAGGCACACAAGGGTCTTTTCTTTTTTTAGAATATTTTTTGAATTTTTTGAAGAATAAAAGAAATATATTTTTCAGAAATATTTAAAAATGGAAAATTAACAATGCTTGCCCTGTTGTGGAGCGAACACAGCCACAGGACAGGGACAAACTCACACACACAGGCACACAAGGGTCTTTTCTATTTTTAGAATATTTTTTGATTTTTTTGAAGAATAAAAGAAATATATTTTTCAGAAATATTTAAAAATGGAAAATTAACAATGCTTGCCCTGTTGTGGAGCGAACACAGCCACAGGACAGGGACAAACTCACACACACAGGCACACAAGGGTCTTTTCTTTTTTTAGAATATTTTTTGATTTTTTTGAAGAATAAAAGAAATATATTTTTCAGAAATATTTAAAAATGGAAAATTAACAATGCTTGCCCTGTTGTGGAGCGAACACAGCCACAGGACAGGGACAAACTCACACACACAGGCACACAAGGGTCTTTTCTTTTTTTAGAATATTTTTTGAATTTTTTGAAGAATAAAAGAAATATATTTTTCAGAAATATTTAAAAATGGAAAATTAACAAAATGCTTGCCCTGTTGTGGAGCGAACACATCCACAGGACAGGGACAAACGCACACACAGGCACACAAGTTTCTTTTCTTTTTTTAGAATATTTTTTGATTTTTTGAAGAATAAAAGAAATATATTTTTCAGAAATATTTAAAAATGGAAAATTAACAAAATGCTTGCCCTGTTGTGGAGCGAACACAGCCACAGGACAGGGACAAACTCACACACACAGGCACACAAGGGTCTTTTCTTTTTTTAGAATATTTTTTGATTTTTTTGAAGAATAAAAGAAATATATTTTTCAGAAATATTTAAAAATGGAAAATTAACAATGCTTGCCCTGTTGTGGAGTGAACACAGCCACAGGACAGGGACAAACTCACACACACAGGCACACAAGGGTCTTTTCTTTTTTTAGAATATTTTTTGAATTTTTTGAAGAATAAAAGAAAGATATTTTTCAGAAATATTTAAAAATGGAAATTAACAATGCTTGCCCTTTTGTGGAGCGAACACAGCCACAGGACAGGGACAAACTCACACACACAGGCACACAAGGGTCTTTTCTTTTTTTAGAATATTTTTTGAATTTTTTTAAGAATAAAAGAAATATTTTTCAGAAATATTTAAAAATGGAAAATTAACAATGCTTGCCCTGTTGTGGAGCGAACACAGCCACAGGACAGGGACAAACTCACACACACAGGCACACAAGGGTCTTTTCTTTTTTTAGAATATTTTTTGAATTTTTTTGAAGAATAAAAGAAATATATTTTTCAGAAATATTTAAAAATGGAAAATTAACAATGCTTGCCCTGTTGTGGAGCGAACACAGCCACAGGACAGGGACAAACTCACACACACAGGCACACAAGGGTCTTTTCTTTTTTTAGAATATTTTTTGAATTTTTTGAAGAATAAAAGAAAGATATTTTTCAGAAATATTTAAAAATGGAAAATTAACAATGCTTGCCCTGTTGTGGAGCGAACACAGCCACAGGACAGGGACAAACTCACACACACAGGCACACAAGGGTCTTTTCTTTTTTTAGAATATTTTTTGATTTTTTTGAAGAATAAAAGAAATATATTTTTCAGAAATATTTAAAAATGGAAAATTAACAATGCTTGCCCTGTTGTGGAGCGAACACAGCCACAGGACAGGGACAAACTCACACACACAGGCACACAAGGGTCTTTTCTTTTTTTAGAATATTTTTTGAATTTTTTGAAGAATAAAAGAAAGATATTTTTCAGAAATATTTAAAAATGGAAAATTAACAATGCTTGCCCTGTTGTGGAGCGAACACAGCCACAGGACAGGGACAAACTCACACACACAGGCACACAAGGGTCTTTTCTTTTTTTAGAATATTTTTTGATTTTTTTGAAGAATAAAAGAAATATATTTTTCAGAAATATTTAAAAATGGAAAATTAACAATGCTTGCCCTGTTGTGGAGCGAACACAGCCACAGGACAGGGACAAACTCACACACACAGGCACACAAGGGTCTTTTCTTTTTTTAGAATATTTTTTGAATTTTTTGAAGAATAAAAGAAATATATTTTTCAGAAATATTTGAAAATGGAAAAATAGGGCGAAAACAGGGCAAAGGCAAAGCCTCCCCGCTGCTCCCAGCCCAGGGAATGAATGAATGCAAGCAATGAATGAATGCAAGCAATGAATGAATGCAAGCAATGAATGAATGCAAGCCAAGCCTCCCTCCCGAACCTCCCGTCTCCTCGCCTTCCAGCAATGAGCAATGCGGCCACGCGGAGCCGCTTTTAAAGGGCAGCCCGCCCAATCACAATGAGCCACGGTGCTTGGGAGCGCCGGATTGGCTCCCAGCGCACCCAGCATCCTCCATCCCTAAAACGTCATTTCCGAAACGGGCGGAAGCCCGTAAAAAAGATGGAGGATGCCGTTTCGATATTTAAAAACACTTCCGGGTTTGAAAATATGTTTTGTAATCGTTTTGTAATTGTTAAAAATAACGAATATTTAACGAATTACAAAATTAACGAACGAAACCGCCCAGGCCTAGTAAATAGAGCCTACTCTCCAGCTGATTTTATATATCGTATTTTGTAAGGAATTCTCTCCAGTATCACCTTCCCATGCTGGTTGGGTATTCTGGGAGTTTGAGTTCAAATATTAACATTTCCATGTTCTGATTTGTAAGAGTATTTTCACATGTTGTCCATAATAATCCCATAAAGCAGGAGCCCCCGGTGGTGCAGTGGGTTAAACCTTTGTGCCGGCAGGACTAAAGACCAACAGGTTGAAGGTTTGAACCCGGGGAGAGTGAGGATGAGCTCCCTCTGTCAGCCCCAGCTCCCCATGCGGGGACATGAGAGAAGCCTCCCACTAGGATGGTAAACATCAAAGCATCGGGCGTCCCCTGGGCAACGTCCTTGCAGATGGCCAATTATCTCATGCCAGAAGCCACTTGCTGTTTCTCAAGGCACTCCTGATGTGGAAAAAAACCCATACATCCCATAAGAACATATAGACATTGTTACAGGTATAAAACGAGAAGCTGCAGAAACTGAGTTTGCATTTGTGAGGGTGTTACAATAATAGTGTGTTACTATGATCCTACTTACGCAACATATCTTGCATTTACTTTTTGGATCTTATGACCACACTTTATATCAGAACTTAGGAACGATAGTCCAAAACAGCTTGTTGTCAAAGACCAGTCTCCTGGTCCACTAATTGGCAGGAAGATGCCATTCCTTGTCATGCTGTCTTAAGGCAGTGTTTTTCAAACTGTACTCCTCCAGATGTTTTGGACTTCAGCTCACACAATTCCTAACAGCTGGTAAGCTGGCTGGGATTTCTGGGACCTGAATTCTAAAACACCTGGAGAAGCCAATTTGAGAAACACGGGTCTAAGGTATTCTCAGAACTGTAACCCCCCAAAAATAGAATTGCCAAAACTTTGGCTTTTACTGGTCACTATCCAGCAGAGACATGCCATAAAATCGTGGTAAAAAACATAGAAAATGCCTACAGAGAACATATTTTTTGGGACATGGGGTAAGTGAAATTGTGTATAGTGGACCCATGGATACAAGAGTCATAGGCAATATAGAAGTGTCTGAGATCCCGGAGAGCTGTATCTATTGAAAAATACTAGTACGGAGAGTTAGCTAGAGTGACTTTAATGGCTGAGGATTCTGGCAGTTATAGTCCATTTTCAAACCCTGAATCAGTAGAGTCACTTTCTCTGAAGCTGGGATCCTTGGCTTGCAAAATGCATCCACCAATGAGGCTATCACCTCAAAATCATTTAGACAGTTTAAGATGTGAATGTTTTCACATCCTTCAGAAATGTCTATATTCTGGTAGATGTTTATTGTTAAATAAGAAAGGGAATATGGCCCATTGCTGTTAGCCAGAGGATGATCTTGGCTGTTCTTGTGAAAAAGAGCAAACTGAGGATGACAGTTCATTTCATGTGAATCTGGCTCTCTCACGGTTCTGTTTTCAGTTCCGCCGTAGAAGCAGCTTCATTGTCTGGACTACCTTAAGTTTCTGGGTGTGCATCATTGGCCTGCAAAGTTCGCACTAAAGCAAGCTTTCTCATGACATGATATTTGTGGTATTTCCTGCTTCCACTTTGGCGAGACGTGCTGCGTGAAAAGCAGGGTTATTCTTTTCTTTTTTATTTTCAGAGTCTTCCCCTCCCGCCTTTGTAAAAGGCATTCATGTTTACCAGAAGATAAGCTGTTAGTCTAAAATATCTCGGTCCCACAACTGTCCTTGACGAATTTTCTATTTAAATCTAGATTCTAGATTCAAGGAAAAAGACCAGGATTCACATATTGTTTGTTAAGCATTTCTTTCAAATAGGTCTTTGAGTAAACTGATTAACATGCTATTTGTTGATTAAACAACTGCCTTTTCAATCACTATTAGTGCATTATTCACATACATTTAAATAACTTACCTTGCAGTTCACTTCTATCATTGAAAATATATAGGTTTAGCTTCCTTTCCCAATGCTTATTGCAGTTAGGAAGGCAGTGGAGCTCCTGGGAGGAGCAGTGCTTAACTCTTTCCCTTCTGTTCATGTTTTAGCTATATGTACCCTCAGGCTGGATAGTGAAAGGGTAGGCTCAGTGACATCAGTGGACTGAGACTTGGAAATTCCAGATTCTAGGCCCCACTAAGCCAGGAAATTCAATGGGTAATTCCAATCTCAGGAGTTTCATCACACTAAGCAGGCAAATTGCAATTACAGCTGGACAGCAGTAGATGTTGACATTACTCAATGGTTATCAGTTGTTGTTAAAAAGATCTCCACTTGTGAAGACTAGTTGGGTGGGTCTAAATTCCTCTTTCCTTACAGATTTTGGTCTGGTACATTTTGACTCAGTTGCAACATCTTTTCACATTTATCTTTGATTTCCAGTCCCAAAAAAACTCTGGCGTTAACATCTGACCCTGATAGCAACGATTCCCCGACAGGCTAAGTCATGCCTGGATGTTAATTGGAACAGTGCAGAGTAAAATGTTCAAAAATATATTTTGGTCTGTAGGAAAAATTATTCCCATGAAAAACATCAATTAAAGCAGCAGCCAAAATCCCTTTAAAAACAAATTTGTATTGGCACTGAAGAAAAACACAAATGTCCCTCCCTCAAATAAACAGATCCATTGTCACCATATACAAAAAGTCACACTGTGAAGTAGTGGTTCTCAACCTGTGGGTCCCCAGGTGTTTTGGCCTACAACTCCCAGAAATCCCAGTCAGTTTCCCAGCTGTTAGGATTTCTGGGAGTTGAAGGCCAAAACATCTGGGGACCCACAGGTTGAGAACCACTGCTTACAAAGGATATATCTAAGGTGCTGAAACTTGTCTCCAAAATGAGTTCAGCACCTTGGATAGCCCCTTGAAATTCTTCCTAAAGCCTGGAGCAGATTCACCTTTCCATTGATATGAGTACAAACAGTTGCACATGTGGATGAAACGTTCTACCAAAGAGAGGGTCAAAATGTCCTCCTAACTTCAATCTTTTAGTAGGTTACAGAGTCGGGGAAGTCACATTTCTTTCCCAAGATACTACTCTTGGGTATCTTGGGAAAGAAATGGGTTTTTGCAAATACTTTGCAACAGATTACAGTGGATTTGTGTCCTACTTGCTGAAGGGGTTAACCACCAAGTCAAGACCTTGTGACAATGTAAGTGAGTGCCTGGCCTTTCATCCTGTCCATCAGCTCCAATCCTCAGTGAATCAGCATGAAATAGAAGGAGGGCACAAGGTGAAAAAGGTTACTACTCCTTTTGCTTGTGGGCTGAAAAGCATTTGCAGAATGTTGTTTGCCATTGGTGGCCTGCTGACCACAGAAGGTGAAGTGTTTGGATATAACTTGTTCCCTTTCTGCAATACCTCTCTAGCAGATAAAAGACAGTAAATTCAACAGAGACAAAGCTCCCAAGGAGGACACTAAACCTGCCTGGGATCGTAAGAAGGGAATTCCTGATTCGAAGCCACAGAACGGGGAACGTTTCCCAGAACTTCCTGCTCAGAAACTTAAGCATACAGAGAATGCTTTTAGGTAAGATATACACAGGGATGGTAGAGTGTTTATACTTTGCCCTGATGTTTCCTTTTATGGGTCTCAGTTGTTGCAAGACGGATTGTGCCATAAGAGAGACCAAGGATGGCTTTTTACATGGAACTCTTATGTGTCTCTTGCTTCTGTCAGTCTGCAACGTGAGAATAAAGCCAATGTAGAATTAACTATACAGTCCCATTAGAAATGCTCAACACTGTGTTTCCTTCTTGAAACAAGGCCATAGTTAGACCTTTGAAAAAGGCTATTTCTTTTCATTTTCCACTGTGTTGCATGGGAAATATGTGTTCAACTCAGCAAGGTCAGCATGGGCTTCTCCTAGGTGTAATATTATTCCAAAAACAATTGAATAACTAAATTAGTTATAAATGCTACAAGAAATGCTCCAGATTTGATGCAGGCTAACACTTGTCTGGATAGCAACAGACATCACCTTGGAATGGTAATTGGTGTCTCCTTATCCATGACCTTCTGCCTTACGAGGGAGGTCTCTGGAATGTCTTGTTTCCAGATTGTACAATGCAAAACTGAAGACTGGAGGTGAAATGACAGCAAAGGGATCAAATTGGAAGTCCCAGGAGCCTGCTGATGGATCCAGATTAATTTCATATTTCCAGAAACCTTTGTGGCCCCATTTCAATGTAACCTTATGAAATCAACACTTCAGTCTGTCCAGTTGTTGGATTAGTCATCTGTTTTGTTTTAATCGCCTCCTCATTTCCCCTGTGGCTATTTCAATAGATGGGATGATATTGTAAATGCCACTCACAGTGCTGAAAATGTAGAGGATTGTAAAAGTCATCCTAAAGTTGCATATTTCTGCAAGCCTGGACCTTGTGTGTTCAAGCCGTACTAAACAGCAATGCGAGTGAATCAGGAGAGACAAGAAGAATTTGGGCTGATTTACTGTATTTAGTTGCTCATGTTTTCCACCTCAGCGAAGTCTGGAGGTGGCCTACAAGCCATATTAAAATACCAATATGTTTCATCATAAAATGGTAGACTAGACACACAGCAACACACACAGCAAGACATACAATGTAGAAAAAATATTTCAGTTTCTTCTTCTCCGTTCTTTATTTTAGGATGGTTTTCATGCACAGACACACAAAGAAATATAATGACCAATAATAATAATAATAATAATAATCATCATCATCATCATCATCATCATCTTTATTTCTATACTGCCCTATCTCCCCGAGGGGACTCAGGGTGGTTTACAACAGAAAATTGGCAAACATTCAATGCCAGCATAACATAACAAACAAATCAAATCATAAACAATAAAATAAACAACATCAGGTGTTGATTGTACATCATATGTATGTAGTATAAATTTATGCTCATACTTAAAATCATATTTCTTATTTCCAACTCACAAAATATACACTCAAATATTTACATGGTGCTGTTCCTGATGTTCAATTGATTGAAATGGTCCATTAAAGGGTCTGATAAATTTAACAATGTCCAGTTGCATGACTGGAATTCTGGTTGTTAGTCACATCTAGAATACACCCATTTAGACAACTGTTGCATGGTAAGTCAACATTTAGTTAAATCAAACAGCTCTATTCTAGTTAGGCCTATGATTTAGGTTCATATGGAGTTGTCATACTTGTGCAACTCTGCTTATCCAGCTGTCGACTGAATATGTGTGTGGTACAATGACAAAAAAAGTCTAGGTGCTTGTGTAAGGCAACTTGCACATGTGTGTGACACTGATTCTAGTCAATAGGTTGAATCCAGGCATAATCATACTTATAGTAGACCACTGATATGCACAGGGCTTAAGTTAGCTGTGGCCAGTTTAAGTCCAGGCTTAAAGGCTTTTTCTGCATCATGCCCAGGCCTGTTCTGCTAAGCCAGGACAATAGTTCTGACTATGCTATTTTTATTTATTGTTTTGCAGCCGCCCAGGCTTAAAAAACACTGAAGAAGGCAAACCCGTGTCCCATCCGGAAGCTGGCAAGCGGGTGGATGAGCTTCGCCGTCGTCGAGGAGAAAACGAGAATGAAGAGTTTGAGAAGATGAAGCAGAAACAGCAGGAAGCAGCCGTGGAGTTGGAGGAGCTCAAGAAGAAGCGTGAAGAGCGCCGGAAGGTTCTGGAAGAAGAAGAGCAGAAACGGAAGAAAGACGAAGCAGAGAGAAAATCCCGGGAGGAGGTAACAGAATGCAAAAGTAGTGCCTGAGTGCTTTCAGAACAGAAAATATCAGAATTTAATGATGCCAAGTAAACTTAGGGATCGATTTTAAACAAAATCAGATCACTGCTCTGTTTATCTTAGTATTGTAGGTTTTGACTACTGTAGAGAGGAAAAACAATTCATTGTAATTAATTCGGTACTTTAATTCATTAAATTATTTAGGATACATAATTTTGAATGCCTAGATGTTTTTGCTACTTCTCGTCACATTCATTCATTTTGACCATTTTTTCTGCTATTCTGAGTGACATTTTAAAGTATAATACGATTCAAGTTTAGTGAATTAGTTTTCATCCACAATTAAGCATTAAACTGTCCATGATGCTAAAGTTTCCAAACTCTGTGGCTCTCCAAGTTATCTCTTATGTGTTGGAATTCAATCCCACACTGACCAAGTCTCAAGTCCTCAATGAGGAACATTTTAGTTAGCTTAGAATAGTCTGTTTCCCTTCCCCCATGTTTTGTGAATGACAGTTGGAGTGCATCTATTTCGTTCTCTCTCTGTTTCTACTTTCATTCTGATTGGTTGTGTAGAATGAATACTTTTCTACTGCAAGCCTTTTTCAAATCTGACTTCTGTTTCTTACATCTGAGTATGTGCTGCTGTGTGCTTTGAGATCTCTCTCTGCTTGTGTGTCAGAGAGATGTAGTGATTGGTGTTTTCCCCCTCTCTTTGAAACCGTAGAAGAGATGGGTGTTAGAGTAGTTCAGACCCAGTTCTTGATTATTAAGAAATGCAGTTATTGTTTATTATTGTAAATGAACCTTTTGTGATTTTTAAGATTGGACTTTGCATCTTTGCCTGCATAAACTCTAAATTCTTTACAGCCACATCACACGGCACTTTACACTTCGCTAATGTGAGCTGAATGCTCAACTTTTAGTATCCTGTTTGTTTTTGGAGTCTCCTATGTTTTTTGGGTAGTTCTCCCTAACACTATGCCTACTTGGTGACCCTAGTAGGTCCTCAAACTTTTTAAACAGAGGGCCAGATCACAGTCCCTCAAACCGTTGGAGGGCCGGATAATAATTTGAAAAAAAAAAAACATGAATGAATTCCTATGCACACTGCACATATCTTATTTGTAGTGCCAAAAACACTTTAAAACAATACAATAATTAAAATGAAGAACAATTTTAACAAATATAAACTTATTAGTAGTTCAATGTGAAGTGTGAGCCTGCTTTTGGCTGATGAGATAGAATTGTTGTTGTTGTTGTTGTGTGCTTTCAAATCATTTCAGACTTAGGTTGACCCTGAGCAAGGGCCGGGTAAATGACCTTGGAGGGCCATATCCGGCCTTGGGGCCTTAGTTTGAGGACCCCTGCCCTAGGAACTTGGCCCGGCCTTAGTTTTTACTGTGCTATGGTGTACTGTTTTTACTGTTTATTGTTATTGCTTTAATGTTTGATTTGCTTTATGGTTTATGTGTATTTCTTATATTGTTGTTTTATTGAGGCCTTGGCCTTTGTAAGCCGCATCGAGTCCTTCGGGAGATGTTAGCGGGGTACAAATAAAGATAATAATAATAATAATAATAATAATAATAATAATAATAATAATAGGAATTGAACAAGTACGCTTTGTATTCTGACTCTTGACAGGAAGAGAAGAGGCGGCTGAAGGAAGAAATAGAAAGGAGAAGGGCGGAAGCTGCGGAGAAGCGCCAGAAGATGCCAGAGGAAGCCCAGACCGATGAAAAAAAGCCATTTAAATGTTTCACCCCTAAGGGATCTTCTCTCAAGGTAATGCTCCTTTGAGGTTAACTGGTACAAGATCATGAAGGAGTTCTTAATCTGGTTCCAGGTTGCCATATTGTTTTAATAAGGTTGCCCAGGTTTGCCACAGAGCAATCCGGCACAGTTTTCCCCCACTTGCCATGCCAGCTCAAGGTGGGTTGAGACACTGAAGGCCTAAGAAGGTCACGTCAAGTCTCAATAACAGTATGTCTTTTGTGAGATCTCGCGATCTTGCAATATCTTTTAGAAACTGAAAACCTCATTGAAATCTTATGATGAAGGGCAAGCTATCACGGGATTAAAAAGTCACAGTCATGCCAGAGAGCACATAAGAACAATACCACACTAGCCACAGATGGAAATCCATCACATGACATTTAGTAAGAGCCTTTAGTACGGGCCTGCTCAATAGTTGGTCTCTTCAGAGGGCAGTTGGTGCTTGCTTTCAAGAGTTCAAGAGATATGGAATTCGGGGCATCTCATATGACTCCAGTATGGAACTTGAATCCAAGTCACCAAATATGGGACAGAATACTGAGAAACTCTATGTCTTAATGAAAATATGGTGGAAAAGCAAACCCTCATTTCATTTTTCAAGCTGAAATTTCATTTACTGCTACTATGATTGATCATTACTATTGGTAAAATTTCTAAGGGCTGTACAAAAGTACAGTAGAACTTGCCTGCAGGCATTTTGCGACATTGCATCTATGTTTGGTTTTTGTATGTAATGCTCTGTACACATCTGAATATATGCTTTAATTATGATGTTTTTTATTATTGGGTGCTGCCTGTCCCTCCATTAATACATTTGCTAGATTTTTGTGTGTTGGTGTGTTTTATTTTTCACAGCTGTATGCTAAACAAGACGTGGTGTTATTGTTGTTCCTGGCACAGCTGCAAATATAAAAAGTAAAAGGCCTACTGAATTTATGATATAGATGTAAACATGCACAAACCTCATAAAGAGACTGAATTGCATGGAAATCTATATTTCTAATCAGAGGCTGAAAAGGTTACTGAATGGCAGCAGCATATTGGTTGGAGGTTCCTGGAGACAGTAGACCAAAAATGTACCAGTACTACTAGTCAACACCCTACTTTAACTAGCTAGTTTACAGCTTGCAAGGAATAGGGGTGAGAGAGTTGAACATATGCTCCAAATACTTTCTAATATTTCTAACCATTCAGAACAGGTAGCAAATGATGGAAAAGACATTTGGCTGAAACTATGGAGAATTGCTGCCAGTGAGTGGACAGTAATAGGTTATATCAAAGTGAAAATGTGGCCTTGCTAGCTTTGCTAGTGATCAGGGATGCTGGGAGTTGTAATCCAGCTGTTTCTGGGGTTCCTGCCCCTGAGCTATATGGAGAGATCGACTGACATGGCAGAGGATTGTTTCCAACAATAATTCTCCAGTTTCAGTCTTGAGAGAGAGCTGTGTAAACCCACCCAGTTGAAGAGTTTATGAAGGGCAGCAGTAGAACACCAGCATTTATGAATGTAGTAATTTATGGATTTCCTTGCCAGTGCATGAAAACTCCTGCCCTGCCTTGTTTAGTTCTTTCTCACAGCCAAATCTACATCTGGAATTGACTTTTGGTTTCCTTAGAAATTTGTGGGTGGAAGTCAGGTGCTCTGTTATTTTGTTTTCCAGCTTTTCAGTACTTTTCAATTCCTCCCTGTTGCATGGGCCATATATTGCTTGCAGTCAAAATAAGGTTCACTATATGTTGCATAGAGCCATTTACACTATAGATGCTTTGCCAATGTTTTTAATAGACTGCACTTTATCATTTTACATGGTGTGAGATATAAAATTCAGAGAAAGAGTATGGTAAGTACAGTGCATGTTTGGAGTAGCACTTCCTAATTTAGGAAGTTTAAAACAGTTTTGGCTCTTGGCTTTAACCACTCTCTTCTCTATCTTGTTTTACAGATCTATTTTGTAATTCTGTTTACCGTATGTGCCTTCATATTTTTAGTTGTGAGTGTGCTGTTGCTTGTTTTGTGTGGTGGCATCTGTTTCTAAGTATTATGCATAATTTCCCACTCCTGGGTTTGATCAATTCCTTTAAAGGCCCCTTCTCTCTACTGGGTTGTGCAGGCAGTCCAATATGCCCCCAATCCCCCCCCCCAAAAAAAGGGGGGGTCATATTCAATTGTGGTATTAGATTTCTTTTATTCTGCTCTTCGGCTAACAAATTAAATCTAAAACAACAATAAGTACATTTAAAAACCTGCTCAAAGAAAATCTAATTCGCTAGCAGGAGAAATAAATAAAAATATAGATTATATAAAATTCACCAGCTGAAAGTTCCTGGTCTTTGTTTGGTGAGCCTTCTTAGGGAAAATATTCCAAATTCGTGGTGCCATGACTGAAAAAGACTCCTTCATATGGACCCCTGTCCTCCCTAATTTTGGATATACCTCTGTGTCAATTTACCACCGAGGTATATCCTGGAATTGATCTTTATATTAGGCAAGTTAATGTGTAGAAACCTCTTTTGGTTTGCTCTGATAATGTGTACAGCAGAAGGTTGAGGACAGTTCATGATGGTGCTGTTGTTATTGAAGACTCTTTGGCACTATAGATTGGTGGGGCACTAGAGTTCTTTGGCTGAAAATTTGAAGTATCTCCTTCAACTACAGATTCAAGGATCTACAAGATTCCAGAAAAGAGATTCGACCTAAACATTAGAAGAACTTTTGTTTCTGTAAGAACTGTTCAGTGATGGAATAGACCAGTGGTTCTTAACCTGTGGGTCCCCAGATGTTTTGGCCTTCAACTCCCAGAAATCCTAACAGTTGGTAACTGGCTGGGATTTCTGGGAGTTGTAGGCCAAAACACCTGGAGACCCATAGGTTGAGAACCACTGGAATGGTCTGTCTTGGAAATTGGTGGTGCACTCACCTTGTTTGGAGGTCTTGAAAGGTTAGATGGGTGTAGTTGTGAGTTGCTGTATTGTGGTGGGTTCAACTAGCTCATTACAACTCTGAAATTCTTTGCTTCTGTTTCCATAGCATAAAGCTTTGGCAATGGCAATGAAGGTGTTCTCAAAATGTACTGTGAAAGAGCCCACTTTTGAAAGATGTATTGTTCTATATGTGCTGGGTGAGATCAATGCAGTTGGGAAGTGAGGCTGTGTAGCTGACTGTGTGAATTCATATCAATATAGTGCCAGCCCAGCACAACTGCAGTGAAGTTTGAAAGTGAGCATTCCAATCACAGCATGTTTCTGTTAGCTTAAACAATGTGATTGCAATGTGACAACAGACTGATGTGATAAAGTCCTGAATCATTTCTCCCTTCCCTTTTCCCTCAGTTCAAAGAAGTAGGAGCATTCCTTCCCAGACTTGCTAGCTGTGGGGCATGTGTGGTTTTTGGATGGATCATTCGTAACTAGGTTATTCATTTGTAACTGTGATTGTAAATTCCAGACATCATTTTCAGTGGGTGTCAGTTTTCAAGTCTGCTCCATCTCAGTTCTGTATTCACCTCTGTGGTTGTTTTTTTTTCCAAAACGCCTTTAAATGTATACTTTAAAAACATACTTGCTGTCAAAAAGTTTTATGCTTTCTAAAATTTGAAAACTGCATCAGGACATACAGGGATTGTACAACTGGATGTACTGAAAACACCCAGTTGACACATTAGCTTGGGAGATACTAACTGGATTAGTAGGTGAACTTGTGAAAAGTCAATTTTTCAAGTAAAGAGGTGGCAAAACTACGATCCTCTGTCTTGCTGCATTGTTATTGGCTCGCATTGTTGGAAGTATAAGAAGAACCAGGAATATAAATCATTGGCTACAACTCTGGTGCTTGGTTGCAGCTAGAGTAGATCCAATGATGAACTGGCACACAGGTATATTGGAGTCATTTGATAGATCTACTCTAATAGAGACTGTAAATGGGATTTAATTAATTGTGTAGTGGTGTGTGCGTGTTGTTATTTGTTCAGTTGTTTCCAACTCTTCATGACCTCATGGACCATTCTTGCATTTGGCTATAGATTTCCAATACATGCACACAGATTCAAATGAGTCAATCTATGTGCTGATGCCATCATTGTTTTGCAATCCTTATCCTTCCTGGAATTACAGGACCATCTATGTTGAAATGGTGCAATTTTGATATGTCTCTTAAGGGTTTTTAAAAGAGAGAGGAAATGGAATGACTTGTGTTAAATAGAACTCTGTCTGTTTTGGTTTCTGCCATGTATGAATTTTGAGCATTTAGGTATATTCTAATTTTAAAATGATAGGAGATGAAATTTTCATCCATCTTTTGGACAGCACTTGGAGCTGTGCTGCCATCTTGCGGATATAAGCAGAAATAAAGAATTTCTGCCAAAATGCTGATCCTACTAGGCCATAGTTTTCAAGTTATCCAATTTTTTTCCCTCAAGTATTCCAAGACTGGTTCCATATTTGTGCCATCATATTTGCATAGCTTTCTGGGATCCTGTTCCAAATTAGCAGCTTGATGGTTTGCAGATTGACATTGGTCTGGTGTCTATTGCTTTGAGTATCATTGGCAAATATAGCCTGGATCTTGAGAATTATGCCACTGAATAATTACAAATCATGAAGCAATACTTGGTTTTGGAAGAAGCCTAAGGACCCCCCCCCCCCCAATCAGCAGGTGATACATTTGAGACAAAATCTTGGTTTCCTGAAACTGCGAATATAACCAAATGCCATTAGGTTGTTGTAGGCTTTTTCGGGCTATATGGCCATGTTCTAGAGGCATATAGCCCGAAAAAAAACCTACAAAAGCCCAGTGATTCCGGCCATGAAAGCCTTCGACAATACATCAAATGCCATTATATTACTTGCTAATGTAGACCCAGGATACCACAGAGTCATCTTGGAGGATCTATAAATTGCCCTATTAAGAGTAATCTTGGAGGATCATCTAAGGATTAAGTAAATTTCTAGAACAAAAGTTCTTCATCAGATGCTGGTACCACAGTTACAGGGGTCTTATTGTATCCTGATCTTCTTCTCACATATCTCCTTTGATATAGAAATTTTGCATTTTGTTGGGCCACTTTTCCATTACATCTAAAATGGGTGAGCATGATTTGATATTTCTTTTCTAGTCAAGATATTAAGTGGGAATGTTAATGCAATCAATTTGAAGCAAGGAATTATTAAGAGAAAGGCAGTGCACCAAAAGTATGTAGGAAGTTCAGTGTCTTCCTTTTCAGTTCATTTCCTGGGAACTGGGATGGTTTTGTCCCATTTGAAATAATTGGAACTCAGTGTCAAACTACATGACAGCTGGAATCCTGTTAGTTAGTCCCAACTCAGGTAGACTAATTGAATGAGCTGTTGAATCAACACAATGTTAATCAACACATGCATAAGTCTAATTGATCAAATAACTCAATTCTATTTGGGACTAATAATTTTGATGAATCGCAGAGCAAATCAAGCCTGAATCTTGCAAAATTATTAAACTTAGGCTGTCGTACTTTGGATATATTGTGCAATGGCATGTTAGCAGATACACGAATGCTGAACAAAGTGGAAGGAAGGATGTAAAAAAAGGATGACTGCATTAGAGATGAATAGACACGATCAAGAAAGCCTCAGTTTTGGTTTGCAAGACCTGAAAAGGAGGATTGATGATAAAGTCACTTGAATTTCTCTCATTTGTAGAATCATCATAAGTTGCAGCTGATTTGATGACAACTAACAACAAATTCACATTTAAATTGTGGTGTTTTTTTAATTTGGGATGATTGGAGGACAGTATAAAAATGATTATAATAAGTAAATCAAGATTTAGATTGGCATTCTCAAAATTCTGTTTGTTTCAAAGGGGCCTTGTAGGGAACAAGATCTTTCCTGAGTGTTCATTGAGTAAGCCAGGATGTGTGCTGTGGGTCCTAGAATCTTCCTAGTACCTCTGTTTGAAGTGAACTTGATGATACAGAAAACGTGTCTCTGCTGACAAAAACAGTAGCAGAGTCTTTTTCTGTTTTGAGCAACCTGTCCTTGCAAGGTGATTACAGTGAATTGAAATGGCGGGATGGGGAAACTTGTAGCGATGGCATCTTGTGACCACTTTGGTGTCAGTGAATATTACCAGAGTTTGAGGAGAACGAGACACAGGGCTGCCATTTTCAGTTATTGTCACCTCGTAGGGATGCACAACATTAGATCAATGCAGTTTAAAATGTACAAAATATAAATACGAATATAGAATGAAACCTACCATTATTTTTGAAAAAGTCAGTTAAAATCACCATAAACAAATAAAAACTGTTAAAACAATTAAAACAATCTACAGCACCTCTGGCTCGTTCTTGAAAACTTTCTACTTTTAACCATATGTATAACCTCCCAATAGATTGTAAACTGTTTCCTTTTTGTGTGTTGGCATTGTATGTTGTGTATTATACTATTGTTTTATTTGTTGCATCTTTACAGACCATTGAACTTCCTATTGAACTCTTGCTTTTGCAGACTGATTGTTTTCTCATTTCTTTTGCCCCTACCCCATTTCTCCCCTTCCAGATAGAAGAACGTGCCGAATTCTTGAACAAATCTGCCCAGAAAAGGTAACACAACATTACAGAGTGAGCAAAAACAGTATAAGTATTCAGGTCAAATGCAATTGTTAGTCACAACTAGGATAGATCTGTTGAAACAACTGATGAATGGTTTTTGTCGAAGGTAACCCTAGGATAGATCTGTTGAAACAACCCAGTGATGAATGGTTGGTCAACCTTTACAAATTTGATTAATTCAATGTGTCTACTCTTGTGGGGACTAGCAGTTGGATTTAGGCTTCAGTGTCCAACAGAAAGAATTAACCGGTCTCTGTCATTCCATTTTTTTTTACATAGTGGTTTGAAGCCCACTCTTACATCTCCTGTTGTCTCCAAAATTGATAGCAGGCTGGAACAATACACCAGTGCAATTGAGGTGAGTTTGTTTTCCAGGTTCTTCACGTTGGCTATTACAAGCAAGAACCTCAGGAACTGTTGGAGTTCTGACCCAATTGACACTAAACTTGGGTTCAGCTGTGTGTATTTACTATATTTATTTCTCCCCCTGAGAGAACTCAAAGCAGTTTTAATAAAGAACAATAGATTTTTAAACATCTGAACTGTGCCTACAAGTTATTGCATACACTCATGTATAAATTGACCTCATGTAGAAGTTGAGGGCAGATTTTGGGGGCAAAATTATAACTTTTGATATAACCCAAGGGTCATTCAGTGAAAAGGGGAAAGCACCAATACCACTTAAGGGGGTCAACTACCATTGCAGGGATATGGGGTACCTGAGGCCCTCCAGTTCCCACCAGCCCCAACTGGCAAGAATAACACCTAGAAGGCTACCGATTCCCATATTGATTGCACCCCCCCCCCCCCCCCAGTAAGACAAGAGATTCTGTCATATAGTTATGCTCCAGGTCATTGCCCAATAGGCCTAATAAAATTCTAGAAAGTGTGTGACAGACATTAGAATAGGAGAGTGAGAAAACAAAGGGGGAGGGGACAAGGAGAATGTAAGTGGGAAGGCACATTGCTCAACTTTGTGAAATTTTCTGGACAGTCACTTAGTTCTAAAATAATGAATGCCAAAGCAACTGTACTTGAGTTGACCTCCTTGCTATTTTCCCACAGGGAAACAAAGCTACAAAGGCTGTCAAACCTGGTGCTTCTGACCTCCCAGTTACTGCAGAAGGAGTCCGTAACATCAAGAGCATGTGGGAAAAAGGCAACGTGTTCTCATCGCCCTCTGGCACAGGAACACCCAATAAGGTACTTTTGCCATGCCACCCTCCTGGCTTTCCAGGGACCAATTTAATGCATTTGTTGACCGCCGCTCTCAGCCCTAGGGCGACTCCCTCTTAACTCCAAAACCAAGGTCTTGGGCTTGATATGCAGTGGAACCATGGGTGATGTCTCTGGCCATAATCCTCGTGATTAGTCCTAGTATTGATCCATTGAACCAAATATTAAAAGGTGAGTCAAAAGATAAGTAAATCTATTTGACTTGAAGTCTAATGGAGTGTGGTGGAGGCTCCTTCTTTAGAGGTTTTAAAACAGAGGCTGGATGGCCATCTGCCAGGTGTGTTTTGAATGCGATTTTCCTGCTTTTTGGCAGGAGGTTGGACTAGATGGTCCATGAGGTCTCTTCCAACTTTATGATTCTAGACTAAACTTGACTATTGCTAGTCTAGATTAACATTAGAATTGAGGCCTCTGAATAAGCATGAAAGATCTCTATGGCTTAAACTTCCATTCCAGTACTTTTGAGAGGATATAAATAGGATTTAAATATTAAATTGTTTCATCTTGACATGCAAAATTAGTAATGCCAACTATTTCCTCTCTAGTGGCAGAAAAGCAATTTTTTCACAACAGAATTTATGCCCCTCTCAATCGTATGTACAATTTTGTATGTGCTTTTTTCTGAACTCAACATTTTCCCTCTGAAAGCAGTATATGTTGTGCAAATAATAGGTTTTGTACACACAAAACTAACACAGTATGTGTGAGGTTTGTACCATATCAGTTTTTTGAGAAAATTGTTCACAAAAAAGTTGAAAATTCTTGTGTAAATTGACTGTTTTCTTGACGTAGGCTTTCAATGTATTGATAATACGGTGCATTAAATCTTGCAGTGAATGCAAAATGTGCAATTATGGTATTCTTTATATCATAAAAGGAGATATAGCTCAAAATTTGTGAAACACAAGCAAAGCTGATATAGCTTTGGCTGAATCCCCCTCAACCACCTTTAACAGTCACGTTGTAAAACAAATGTTCTTCAGGAAACAGCTGGACTAAAGGTTGGCGTCTCTAGTCGCATCAACGAGTGGTTAACCAAGACACCAGAGAACAACAAATCTGCTCCCAAACCATCAGTGAGTTTTTGGATCCGTTTTCTCTGATTATCAAATAGCTTCAGTTTTCAATATATGATTTGATAACTGGTGAGTGTATTTGCATGCAGAAGAAAACGTGGATGAGATTTCAATAGGCATTTTGAGATAACATTTGCATGGAGCCCACCTTGGTTTGGCAGTAGCTCCTCCCTCTCACTGCCATTACTACTTGCCATTATATATGTTCATTATTTTTACAGTTCCCAGTATCCCTCCTATTGGCTGGAGCCAATGGAAATTGTACTCTAAAACATTATGGGAGGGGACTGTCCAAAAGCACTAGTTGACCAGTGTTGGGAACAGACTCCTGGACTGATGGACATTACTAAGCTGATCTTACCATCCCAGTCCAAAACCATATTTAGTCTTCATATAAAAAGTTTTGCTAAATGGCCCAAGCCATTATGGATATGAATTAAAGTCTTGGGTATGTATGGACTGCAGATCTTAGCTAGTCCGTTTTTGCTATTACATTCTTCTTTCTTTCATTTTTCTGCATCAAACAGGACTTAAGACCTGGAGATGTGTCCAGCAAACGCAACCTCTGGGAGAAACAATCGATTGAAAAGGTCTCTTCTCCCACAAAGGTAATGATCACATAGGGCCACTTTCAACGAACTTTTAGTATGATTTAGCTCCCTGTTATATGTTTATTCTTGGCAGTTCCTTATCAAGTGTGCTGGGATTTGATATTATACTAACATATATATTTCTCTGTGTGTATGTATGTATATAAATAATCTTTTAATTCTTTATGATACAGGAAACAGCAACAGGGAAAAAGTCAGAGACGAATGGTAAGTGAAACAACTGTTTTGATGTTCTGGATAAAGGCTCACTATCTTAAAGACGTTATGATAATGGTGACATAAACAAGTGTATTCTTGGCAATTTCAGAATAATTTGCATGAGAAAGTTCTACATTTTACCTTAGACTGGTGATTCTCAACCTGTGGGTCCCCAGATGTCTTGGCCTTCAGCTCCCAGAAATTCTAACAGCTAGTAAACTGGCTGGGATTTCTGGGAGTTGTAGGCCAAAACACCTGTTTACTCACAGGTTGAGAACCACTTCCTTAGACTGAGAGCCTCCTCTCAGTGTGAGTGTGCCTTCAAGTCACCTGTTGACTCATGGGGACCCCATGGATTTCCTTTGGGTTTTTTAGGCAAGAAATACTCAGTTTTGCCAGTTCCTACTTCTGAAAGATAGCTCACAGCATCTGGTATTTCTTTGCTGTCTTCTAACCCTTACTAGCTTCCAAAACATCAAATGAGTTCTGGTGTCTTTAGGGTATTTAACTCCCATCTCTCCATTGTACTGTGCTGCACTGTAATGTACTGATAATGACAAGAGATGTGTGATAGCCGATTACAAGAAGCCAAGTCAACAGCATCACATTGTCTTCCCTATTTTCAGGGTTGCTAGAGAAGCTCTCAGCTATTGTCTGTTGAGATGTTTTAGACACTGGCCAGGGTGGGGCAGTATTGGCAAACAAAGGTAGTCAAAGGCCTCCCTTCTTAATGACTTACACTAACATAAGCAGTGTTCTGGATGCTGTGGAAGGAGGAATTCAGTATATAATTGTACAGCAGTGTCACAGGTTAGGTTGCACTGAATGAAACTCCATTTCCTCTGATTCTCCTGGCTACTGGACTGAAGTAGGAAAGTTCCCCCTACCATCACTCAGCTGATCATCTTCGCCCTACCAGACTTCCATTGGACTCCTGCCAAAGTGTAGTAGTACAATGCTACATTCTATCAACTCTTTCTAATGGTTAAAAAATTGGAAAGGAAAGAGCTTAAGAGAAAGAGAACCAACAAAATTTGAAAATATAATATTAAAAGAGCAGACTAAAGAAGAAAAAGGATAACAAGTATGATATACAAAATATTAATAGATATTAAAGGGGGAGAAAAGGGATACAAACAAGGGAACTATGGGAGGAAGAATTGGGAATTAAAAATAGGGGAATGAAATTGCGAAAAATTATGGAGAGCAAGACACCTCAAAAATTTACCAAATAGAATAAAAGAAAACTACTACAACATGGTATGCAAGTGGTACCTGACCCCAATAAAGATACACCATATGAACAAGAGCTGTTCAGAAAAATGTTGGAGGGGTGGCTAAGAAAGGGGAATATATATTCACATGTGGTGGTAATACAAATATGTACAGAGGTTTTGGGGAAAGGTTATAGCAGAGATAGACAGTATTATGAAGAAAAAAATTAACACAAATCCGGTAATTGTACTGTTATCTATTTATAATACAGATGAACTGAATGAAAATGAAAATAATTTGATAACAATGTTGTTAACAGCTGCAAGGCTACTAATAGCAAAAATTGGAAAGGAGAGGTGGAAATTAAGATAAAAGAATGGTATAAGGAAATTTGGAAATTAGCAATAAATTATAAATTAACATGTAATCTAAAGGTTTAAACATGCCTAAGGAAGAATAATAATTTTGAAAGTGTATGGAAAAATTGTTGAAGAAACATTAAACAAAGATGTTGGGAACCAACCCCCATCTGAAGAAATTAGGTTCTGGTGGGTTAATAAGGAAAAAAAGGACTCCGTAGATGGGGAGCATAACGGAGGAAAAAAGAAATAACTATTTGAATTGTAGAGATGGGTTTTTTTGGTAACAAAATGAATAGAAATGTAATAAAAATTTACTACATTTTATCACCTCTAAGTAGGCCTTGGTCAAAGTTTTCCAGTTTTAAGCAGCCTTTTTCCTCATGCCACCACTGCCTATGCCAACCTAATTATGCCAGTGTAGTATACCAAAAAGACACTGGTCTTCAACTCCCAGAATCTTTTAACATTGGCCTGAAGTCAAGGATAGAATCCAAAATATTGTTATTTTAGTATCAGAATAGCATTTATTGAGTCTATACAACCTTTTAAGTCCTCTTTCTTTCAGCAGGTTTGAGACAATTTGAAAAGGATCACTAAGGAAGCCACTAGCGATGCTGGACCAACTCGGTTTTTATAAAAAAAATATGGAAGTGCTAAATTTGTCCCTTTCTTTTTATATATATTTATGTTTGTTTACCAAAAGGCCTCTTTTTTGTTGGGTTTTTGTTTTGCATTATCCCATTTTTTTAAAGAAACAAACCATGTATATTAGCACTGTATTTAATAATCAGTCTTACAAACATTCATCCTCATAGTAGTGCCTTTGAACCAGAGCCTTATGTTTAAAAGAAACCCATGCTGTGAAATAAGAGACACTTCTACTGATTAGTTCTGACAAGCCATGTGTCCAAGAAAGGTTCAAGCCACGGAAGAGGAGCGGGTTGTCCCATCTGCTTACTGAAGTGAGCACAGAACAAGATGGAAGATCACAGTCTGGCCTTTTCCAGATCTGATACATTGTGTGGGAGAGGTGTAAATAACCTATTTGCCACTGTCTGGCTTCTGAACATAGAAATGTGTGACTCAGTTTCCCTGTTGGGCTCTCCTGGTGAAGCTCATCAGTGCACACGGGGAAATGTAATATCTCCGGTGGTATGACGTTTTCATAAAAAAGCAGAATTACCTTCCTTGTGACCCACCAATGTACGGAGAAGGTACACCACATAAAGATGACCAATCCACAGTCTCTTTCAATTGATGTGGGAGGGAAGGATTGACATAACTGGGCACCACATCCAACCAGGTCATAGTGTGCATGATACCATCTTCCTACATGAGGTCACATGCATAGCCAGGAGTGATCAGAAAGTAGATGTGCTCATCCAACAAAAACGAATGCCACCTGGGGGAACATAACAAAGCCACGATTCAGAGGATCCCATAGATGTGCCATTGGCTTCTATGGGAAATACCCCATAGAAACGGGCCCTGTTCTTTCTTTCTGCACTTTAAACCGAGGCATGGAAGAAACTCCTTTTGGTTCATCATGCCCCTCTTCCCAGGCCCCTATCCTTTGCCCATACTAAAAATATGCATCAAGATGAAACATACGTAGCTTTTAAAAAATCCTTTTCTTTCCTGTGTAGTTTTAAGTTAATAACATGAATTCGGACGTTGCGCTTGACAGTGGTACTGATAATTTCTCTCTCTTTGCCTCCCTCTCTTTTTTTGGTTAGTTGTAATGATAGGTTGTATACATATGGCTTTACAAAATTTTAGCTGTAAGGCACTACTAATAATAGAAGGCTTTTAATACCTGCTAGAGTATTATATTTAGTTATAAACATACATAACTAGCCAATATCACAACTTTTTTTAAAAAAAATACACACTTTTTATATTAAGATTTCATAATTGCCATTAGACATATTGGCAAGAGGAATATTAGATTTTTTAAAAAAGTCAGATGCCTGTTAATGGGATAATTAAAATTATAGTTTTAATGAGGGAGGGGGAAAGGGTATTAAGCGTCAAACATAGGTCACGCGTATAAAACAGTGTAGTTAATTTATATAAAACTACCATAATTAAACACATACACACATTCACACACTCTGTTGGTAACACTTCTTTCTACTTTACTGCACAATTACGTTTACCCTTTATCCGGTCTGTATACATTGCACACTTTTTTTAAAAAATGATTAATAAATGTGCACAATCCATCCATTGTGGGTCTACATGTTTAAGTTGGGGATCACAACCTCTTTCCATGCTCCTGTCCAGTCCCCATATACAATGGAGGCCAATAGAATCTCCCTGTCCCTCAAATCTCCCCACATATCCTATATACTCATGTATAAGTCTAGAAATTTCAGTCATAGTCAACCCAAAAAGCCTAGGTCGGCTTGTCCAAGGATCAACTCTTAGCAAAAAAAGAAGCTTCTCCTTCTCTTAAGTGGAGCACCAAAAGTTGAGAGCTTAGTCTGTCTTGGAAGAACCCAAAATAAGCATCAACTCTCTACTCTCTTTACAATGGTGCTTCTTCCAATATTTTTGAATGTTTGGGTGGAGAAACGGTAGTAGTAGCTCATGAAGCAGCATTAGTGGTTTTCTCTCTTCATGGGACGACCCTCAACTTATCCATTGGTTGTATCAAAATCCATCATTTTGGCCCTCAAAACATGAGGCTGACTTGTACATGAGTATATAGATTAAGTCATTGTGCTACAGAATGCATGTGGGATCTGGGCCATGGTGACCTGTGGAGGAGCAAGAAAGAGGAGCTCAGTGTTGATTTTGTCCCATAAGCACAGCTGTACTGATGTGTTAGGGAGGAGATGTATGGATTATGCTCCACTTTTCCGCCCAAAAAGCGTTCTTTTTCCAGCCATTAAAAAAATTGTATATAGTATTCACATTTTTTTACAAGTTTGAACCATATTACACAACGTTCAGCATTTACACCATACATTACATGGGTGGAACAAACCAGGCAACGCAGTTTAGCTTTAGACTTTGTAGCCCACCTTCAAATGCAGTTATAGCATGAGAACTGTTATCCTGTTGTTGTTTACTGCTTTATACATTTTTGTTGCATCTTTTCTGTCCTTTATAAAAAAGTAAATAAATAAAGAGGCAGGATGGTGCAGCGCTATCCAAAGGCAAGCTCATCTTTTTCACCAAACCATCTTGTTTACATATAGAATTTCACTTGGGCTTTTGGAATGGAGTGAAATAATGCAGTGAGTGACTTTGGATCTGTCTGTCTTTATTGTTTGATGGTTGTTCTTTTTTTTCCTTTTTAAAGTACACTTTTGGGTTCTTTTCATCTGAATGTCTGCAATAAACCAGTATCTGCAATTCACAATAAATGAAGTATGTCTACCAGATAACTGGATCATTAGGTCTTTTTTCTTCATTATTTTTTTTTACAGGACAAAACATAAGGTACAAACTGAATCAGGCAGTACACATGTTGTTAGTCCCATGAATACGGGATTAAGGGAGGAGAGCGCCAAACCAGGGCAGATTGAAAAAGCCTTTGTCGCAGTGCTGGTCTAAAGTGGAATCCTCTTTTCTTTGGTGTTGCCCTCTTGGCAGAGTTGTGAGAATAGCAGTGTTTTCCAAACTGATCTTCCAGGTATTTTGGACTTGAGCTCTCAAAATCCCTGATCATTAGCCAAGGCAGCTGAGGCTTCTGGAAGTTGGAAGTCCAAAACACCTAGAGCAGTGGTTCTCAACCTTTGGGTCCCCAGGTGTTTTGGCCTACAACTCCCAGAAATCCCAGCCAGTTTACCAGCTGTTAGGATTTCTAGGAGTTGAAGTCCAAAACATCTGGGGACCCACAAGTTGAGAATCACTGATCTAGAGGACTAGAGTTTGGGAAACACTGCTGTATTCACAAAATCTGGCAAGAATGGAGCCCCTTCTTGTAGTGTTACTGCACAACTTCCAGAAGCCTCAGCTGTCTTGTTCACTGTTTTATAGTCTAGTATGACAAAGCAGCTAATCTGGCTAGATGTCCATATCTGCTGAGCTTTGGTCCTGCAAAAAGTCAGGAATTTCACTAGAGACATTGAGGTCCAGCACCTCTTCCTCACTATAGTAATAATAAAAACAATTTATTTATATTCCACCCTATCTCCCCAAGGGGACTCAGAGTGGATCAGAGTACACATGCACGGCAAACAATGCCGTTTTGGACAGAGCACACAACAGAAGGGAGGAGCTTTTTTGCACCTTGGAGGTTGTGTTTGAATCCAGCCACAGCGGGGTGCTGTCACTCCATCTTCCATGACAAAGAGCCATCAGGACTTCCTCCTTCGTTTTAGTCACCAGGCATTTTCTGTTCTTTTTCTTTATGGTGTCGTAAAATACCTTCGCTGCTTGTTTTAGCACTACCTAATTTCTCCGCTTACAGCTCTAAGCTATTTTCGAACTGCTTAGGTAAATAGTTGTTTGTTTGTTTTTGTCGTGTCAGGAGCGACTTGAGAAACTGCAAGTTGCTTCTGGTGTGAGAGAATTGGCCGTCTGCAAGGACGTTGCCCAGGGGACGCCCGGATGATTTGATGTTTTTATCATCCTTGGGGGAGGCTTCTCTCATGTCCCCGCATGAGGAGCTGGAGCTGATAGAGGGAGCTCATCCGCCTCTCCCCGGATTTGAACATGCGGCACAGGATTTTAACCCACTGCGCCACTGGGGGCTCCAGTAAACAGTGACCAGGGCTGACAGTTGGGTGCTCACCCGGGGCTTCGAACTGGCAACCTTTCGGTTGGTAGATCTTATCATTGGTGGCGATTTATCAACTGTGCTAAAGCCCGATCCTACATCCTGCTGTGGGTGCTTCTTCTCACCCCAAAGTACTAAAAGAGGCAGATAATTATTGAAATGCCCCCACATGAAATACTCCCTTTGTGTGGATTGTTAGCATGGGGAGGAAACAACAAGCAAAGAGAACAAGGAAGGATATGATGCCAGGAGTCTAGACTTTATAGGTTACTAGATTTGCTTGGCAGCAGTCTGTTGCATTGTTACAGGAAAAATCTGGACCAGAAACTATCTAGGGAGGAACTCAGCATTACACACAAAAAATCTGATGCTTTAGCAACATTTTATAGCCATTTAGGAGAAGATTGAAATTGTGAATGGGTCTGTTCTCTGCGTTTGCTGCAAAACCAGTCAGAAACTACAGCCCTCCTTCCAGGGTAGTGGGGCACATATACATCAACACTAACAAATTACTGAATATTGTCTGCTTTTGTGCATACATTTCAGATCTTCAAATGGATTATATAAATTTGGAACAGAAAGCTAAAGTTTTTTAGTAAAATTAACAACGCAAAGATAATCACGAAGAGAATTCGTAGTATGGAAATATGGTCTGCAATAAAGACTTCAACCATGATGGCACTATGGTTTTGCAAGGAAGAAAGGATCACTAAGTATTGATCCTTAGTGGTCCTCAGTGATATGGTGCCTCAGCAGATCACCTTCCTCTGCAGATCCTCTTTCATTACATATTTCCCAGGTATGATTCTCTACCAATAGGAATTGGTACCAAAGACACAATACAGGAGTTCCATAGTCTACTTCAGAGATGTTGGTGGAGCATCCGCATTAGTAGTCGGCTTTGAACGGGTAGTCTTTGTGATTGACACAGCTGCAAGAACAAGAAACAGCACATCAGAACAAGGAAAGAATATTCAAAAATAGTTCACCAAAATAGTTTTTTAAAAAACTTGGATCTTGAAGGTCAGAAACTTCTGATAATCTGAGCACTTCTACTCAAAGTATGCATGAGGTTTTGTGCAGAAAACAGCATTTCCACAAAAAGAAAATATAGGATGGAATTCAATATGGGAATTGTATTTTCGTAAGTAGACTTACGTGTGTAGGAATTAGAATTATGAAAATGCACATCTACATCCAGTATAGGCTGTTATTACATAACTACATTGTAAATCTGCCAATAGGACCAATACACAATGAGATCAATGTATATTGCATGGGTCCCAATGTCAGACACTCTTACTGGTGTCTTGTTTGCTATCTTTGCCATTCACTGACTGGTATGCAGGTAAGTGTACACAAGTTTATATTGACTAACAGGTCATGTAGGATTGAAGCATTAATTTTGTGCACATAATTTCTGTTTTCTTCATTAAAATATGTGCTGATTTGGCACGGAATAAGTTTCCAATGACAGTGTTTTGCACTCAGAAATTTTGTCCAAGACCCTTTATTGGGAGATATACATATAGCATATACAGTTAGCTCTCCACATTCGCTGGTCATAGGGGCAGTTTTTGCTGCAGAAATCTTGAGAGCAAGGGAGTTTAAACTTACTGAGCCATCACACAGTCTCTCCAGTTTTTATTTAGACTGAAGAGTATTTCCATCTCTTCTTTTGTCAATTCAAAGTCAAAGACCTGTTGTAAAAGGAGGTGAAAGGGGAAGATAAAAAAAGATGAGAGGTTTAATAGAATGACTAATGAAATGTCAAGACTGGAAGAGGGTGAGCAGAGGAACAGAGAACAAGTGAATGATCTTCACATTCGGACATAAAACTCCACACCTTTCTTCTTCAAAGATGCTTCTTAATAATAATAATAATAATAATAATAATAATAATAATAATACTTTATTTATACCCCGCTACCATCTCCTCAAGGGACTCGGGGCGGCTTACATGAGGCCAAGCCCAAACAACAAATTACAGCAAAATAAAGCAGAAAACACAAGCAATAAACAACAACATCATAATTACATAAAACATATGAATGCATAACAATATAAAATTACAGTAAACATAATCACAGTGACAATGGGCAGGCTGCATGTAATGATTAAAAGAACTAATTAAAAACTGATTAAAAACTCTGGGTGAGATAAAGGAGTAGCAAGTTATTTGCGGCAGAGGCTCATTAAAAATGGGGGTTGTGAAATCAAGCTTTCCCACAATGACAAAACGTTGAGGCTCATCTAAAGCTATGAGTGAAAATTTGCTAGGCCTCTATACAAGTGTTGTATTGATATGTGGTCACAGCCTAAAGATACCATATTATTCATCCATTTGTTGTAATTGTGTCCCATGTTTTTTTTAAGGGGAGTTCAGAACTTTCCCTAGAAAGTAGTTTAGAGAAATGTGTTGTTGTAGGCTTTCATGACTAGAATCACTGTGTTACTGTGAGTTTTCCGGGCTGTATGGCCATGTTCCAGAAGCATTCTCTCCTGATGTTTCACCCACATTCATGGCAGGCATCCTCAGAGGTTGTGAGGTATATTGATAACTAAGCAAGGGATGTTTATATATCTGTGGAAGTTCCAGGGTGGGAGAAAAAACTCTGTCTGTTGGAGGCTAATCACCTTGATTAGCAATGCAAAGCCTTGCAGCTTCAAGGTCTGTGTGATTCTTGCCTGGGGGAATTTTTTGTTGGGAGGTGTTAGCTGGTCCTGATTGTTTCCTGTCTGGAATTCCCCTGTTTTCTGAGTCTTGTTCTTTATTTCTTCCCCTGATTTTAGAGTTTTTTTTTAAAAAAATACTGGTAACCAGATTTTGTTCATGTTCATGGTTTCCTCCTTTTCTGTTGAAATTGTCCAAATGCTTGTGGATTTCAATGGTGGTCTGTGTAGTCTAACATGGTGGTTGTTAGAAATGCTGGGCCACTGTAACATATACCTCAAATATACCTCACATCCTCTGAAGATGCCTGTCGTAGATGTGGGTGAAACGTCAGGAGAGAATGCTTCTGAAACATAGCCATACAGCCTGGAAAACTCACAGTAACCTAGTTTAGGGAAAATGTATTTATTATTTATTTATATTCCGCCCTTCTCACCCCGCAGGGGACCCAGGGCGGATTGCAATGTACATATACATGGCAAACATTCGATGCCATAGACACACAACACATATAGACAGTCAGTCAGAGGCTATTTAACATTCCAACTTTTTCTGACCACCAGGGGAGCTGTCGCTTCACCGTCCATCTGCAACACTGATGAAGTACTTTGTCATTCCCCACATGCTTGCTGGAGATTTTATATGGCCTCGTAAATTAGTTAAATTGGGAAAATTGTTGATCCACTGATCAGCTGCAAGGGATTTGAACCCTGGCTTGTGTCCCACATTCTAAACTGGACCTTCTCTTTGTATACTTCCTATCTTATGTTCACCATGTAGCAGGAAAACTTTAAATTGATGGCAACCTAGAAAATAATATATCTGGATACTGCAATAATTAAAGAAAAAGCATAAAATTGTAGGATCTGCAGAGTTCATGTGTTTGTTGAAATGCACAAGGTCATTAAACAGATTGTTTGATCTGAGCTTGCAGTGGAAAAGTGGGCAAACAAGCGTATCTCCCATTCGTTAGCCACAAAGCTGCCTTATGTCACATCTCCTTGCTCAATATTGTCTACATTCAGGTTTCACAACCAAGGTTCCCTGGGACAAGAGAGCTTTCACAAGAGCCCACCAAGGGTTCAGTGACAGAAGTAGATGTAATACCTGAACATTATTTTAAAGGTTCCTCTATGGTTGAAAGTATTACAAGTTAGAGAAGTATATTTAGCCTCCTTGAACAGTGTATTTGTCCTGGCTACACAATGCCACCCATTTGGCACAGTTGGAACAGCCCTGCTTCCCAATCTGAACAGCACTGGGCATCACCTGACTGCTGTTGTACATCTGGGGGGAAAGGAGTATTAAGCGAACTGGAAGAGGAAACAGGATCTCTGCCAGCAAAGCATGTGCATGACCAAGGGCTGGGCTATGTCCCTGGCTGAACTGCAATGCAGCTCAGCTGAGTAACAAATCCATGAGGATGATGTATTGATAGCAAGGCTCACCAGGAGGCTGTAGAAAGAAATACCTTGAAATTCTCCTCCAAGCGATGTGGTTTTTCAGACTTGGGAATGACAGCCACGTTTCTCTGGATGTGAAATCTTATCAGTACCTGTAGGATACCCAAATCAGAATTGTTTCTAACATGTGCAGCAAGCCTTACTGATGACAATGGATTAATTAGAAGGAAAAAGCATGTTTAGAACTCCAGTAGAAAAGCTTTCACATGGCCACTGTGGGTCCTTTTAGCCTTATGGAACTATCCACATGTAAACTATAGCAGCAATGTACTTTCTGAGTTGTCTTCTTCCTCTTCTGATTTACCTGTTGAGCAGCGTTTCTCAACATGGGTGTGGGGACCCCTGGGGGGGGTTACAAGAGGGGGTCAGGGGTTGCCAAAGACCATCAGGAAACACAGTATATTTCTGTTTGTCAATGGGGTTCTGTGTGGGAAGTTTGGCCCAATTCTATTGTTGGTGAGGTTCAGAATGTTCTTTGATTGTAGGTGAACTATGAATCCCAGCAACTACAACTCCCAAATGTCAAGGTCTATTTTCACCAAACTTCACCAGTGTTCACATTTGGGCATATTGAGTATTTGTGCCAAGTTTGGTGAAAGGACCATGGCAGTGACATCTCCAGCTCATCCCTTGTTTGGGTATCAGCCAGCACGTCAACGACTTAAATCAAGAAATAGTTTTCTAAGATCTACAGAGACACTCGCTGGAACACCTCAGCAAGCGAGAGTCCAAAAGTGGCAGGCTCAAACCCAGAACCTCAATCAATGGCTGATACCAAATGAGAGACTCCCTCCTGGGCACACAGAAAGCTGGGTGACTTGGAGGGCGCTGAACAGACTGCGCTCTGGCACCACGAAATGCAGAGCCAACCTTAAGAAATGGGGCTACAAAGTGGAATCCACGGCATGCGAGTGTGGAGAAGAGCAAACCACTGACCACCTGCTGCAATGCAACCTGAGCCCTGCTACGTGCACAATGGAGGACCTTCTTGCAGCAACACCAGAGGCACTCCAAGTGGCCAGCTACTGGTCAAACGACATTTAATCAACTACCAACCTTGCAAACTTTGTGTTTTGTTTGTTTGTCTGTTTGTTAAAAAATGCAATGCAACTGTCTGGTCTCCCCTGACACGATAAATAAACAATTGTTTAATTCCACAGTGCTCTCTGGATGTAGGTGGACTGTAACTCCAAAACGCAAGGTCAATGCCCACCAAACCCTTCCAGTATTTTTTTTTCCATCGTGGGAGTTCTGTACGCCAAGTCTGGTTCAATTCCATCATTGGTGGAGTTCAGAATGCTCTTTGATTGTAGGGCAACTACAACTCCCAAATGACAAAATCATTCCCTCCCGCAACCACAACAGTATTCAAATTTGGGTGTATTGGGTATTTGTGCCAAATTTGGTCCAGTGAATGAAAATACATCCTGCATATCAGATATTTACATGACGATTCATAACAGTAGCAATATAACGGTTATGAAGTAGCAACAAAAATAAGTTTATGGTTGAGAGTCACCACAACATGAGGAACTAAGGGATCGTGGAATTAGGAAGGTGGAGAACCACTGCTTTTGAGGGACTGTGGGTGCTTACCTGAGCTACAGTTTTTTGATGTCTTGCAGCAATTTCTTTAATATGTGGATCCTCCAAAAGGATAGGGTCTCCTGGTTTGAGACTACAAGATAAGAAGAACATGTATATTAATAACACAGAGACAAGCCTATTGCTGTTTACTTCAAATAAGTCCTTGATGATGGAACAAATGTTATGTTTCAAACTAGAGTTCCCCAAATCCCCAACTCGTAAGACCAGTAGTCATGCTGACTGAGGCATTCTGAGAGTCAGTCTTAAAAAGTAACCTGGGAATCCACACAATTTTAGTGGAATTAAGTTCTTTCAGTACATGTAACACTGCAGTCTAGACAACAGAGTTCCTCTTCTGTGGGCAAAACCGAGGACTACTTTCCATATTTTGAATTTATCTTCTCACATGATTTAAGAGAGAGGTGTTGGAGATCAAGCAGAGGCAGCAAGGTGGTGGCCCCCTTCTCTGGAACTCCCTCCCTAAAGAAATAAAGCTGCCCCCCTCCCATTTCTCCTTCAAAAAACAGCTGAAAACCTATCTTTGCTCACAAGCATATGGAGAGGAGGAGGATTAGATGAAGAGAAACTACTACCAGACTGCTGATTGGATAGTATAAATGCAATTCGGCGTTGTTAGATCACATTAACTCATTTAACAAATTTGGCCATGCAATCTATGCACATGTTTTGTGAACCTTCGTGAACCTTCATGTTGTTTTGATATATTAATTAGGATGGTTTAAGTTTAATTAATTAATTTTTAATTTATTTACAGTATTTATATCCCACCCTTCTCACCCTGCAGGGGACTCAGGCGGATTACAATGTACACATATATGGCAAACATTCAATGCCAAAGACACACAACAGATATAGACAGACAGTCAGGGGCTATTTAACTTTTCTGGCCACCAGGGGAGCTGTCGCTTTCATCGTCCATCTGCGACACTGATGAAGTACTTCTGCATTCCCCGCATGCTTTTGCTGGAGTGCTTTGCTTGAGTCTTTTTTTATGGCCTTGTAAATTTTGTTAAATTAGCCTCTCCACACATAGGTGGTACCTAATTTTCCTACTTGACAGATGCAACTGTCTTTCGGGTTGCAAAGGTCGACAACAAGCTACACAATTGGTCAGAAGCTCACTCTGACCCGGGCTGGCTTCGAACTCATGACCTTTTGGTCAGAAGTGATCTTAATGCAGCTGACACTCAGCTGCGCCACAGTCCTGGTGTTTAAGTTCTATGTTAGTTATAATTTTCAATTGATTATGTTTTATTTAAATTATAGTTGTTATGCTTAAATTATGTGGGGTTATCGTGGGTTTTTATATTTGTATTTACTGTTATTGGGGCCTTTTCGTTTGTTGGAATCTGACCTGAGATAGGGTGGAATATAAATAAAGTTGTTATTATTTTTACTACTATTACTACTATTACTACTACTACTACTACTACTACTACTACTACTTGAAACACAACAAGATTAGTAAACAGCAAACAAACTTCTCCTTCTCTCCCTTTCCCTCTCTCTCTGTCACCCCCCTCTTTCTGGCAGGATATTATTATTATTATTTGAGTCCACAGCAGACACTCTGCTGGCTGTTGTAGTGGATCACACGTCGGACACTTCCCAAGTGTCTAGGACTGTGTGATGTATCTGCAGATTATTTCTCCTTCTTCTTCCCCCTCTTCCTCTTTCCTTTCTCCCTCCCCTTTTTCTCTCTTTCTCTCTCTTCCCCTCCTTCTTCCTCTCACTTTTTTCCTTCCCTCATTTTCATCATCCTTCTCTCCCTTTCTTTCTCTCTCCATCTCTCTTGCTTTCACCACCATCTTCTCTTTCACTCCCTTTCCCTCTCCTCTTTTCACCTTCTCTCTCTCTATAATCACCTTCTCTCTCCCTATTTCTCCTTCTCTCTTCCTCTCTATCTCCTTCCCTCCTCTCTTTTTCACCCTCCTTCCTTCCCTCTCACTTCTCTCTCAATTTCTCACTTTCACCATCCCTCTTTCCTTCTCTTTCCTTTCCTTTCCCTCTCCCTCCTGTATCTTTTCTCCTTCTCTGTCATCCTCTTTCTTTATTATTATTATTATTATTATTATTATTATTATTATTATTATTTTACTTACACAAAAACACAGTATGACACAGCAAACAAAATATATGCTGGATTTCGTATCACAAAATCACAAGTTGAACCCTTCCCAAGTGTTTAGAACTGTGTGATGATGATTATCATTATTGTCCTAGCTAGCATGTACAATAACTTGTGATGATGGGAATTTTAATCTCAAAAATCATGAAGATGTCATATCATGGAAAGCTGACCTGACACCTTCTACGCAAAATGTGCCCTCAAACGGAACCCTCTGGACAAAGACAGTTGTCATTCCATCAAAGAAAGTTCAAAACAATCTTACGTATGAGCACCGAAAGGACGGAAAGCAGTCACGGCAATCCCTTTGGACTGGCAATAGGGAATCAGTTTCTCCTGGGTAAGATATGGGTGGCACTCTATCTGAAAATTCAAACAAACATTGGATTATCCAACAAGCAGGTGACAACATGGCCATCACACAACACACTTTTTGAGTACCACCTCTCCCTATGCCACCCTTCCTGAAGGACAAGGAAGGGTGGTCTTTGTTGAGGAGAAGAGGTTCCTAATGGGAAGCTGAAGCAAAATCTCCTGCTCAGCTGCTAAGACCAAAATTATACCTGATTATTCACTGGTTTGTATTTTAAGCCAGGTTTGCTCAAGAGCCTCTCGATCTGGTCGTGGTTGAAGTTGGAGATGCCAATGGCTTTCACTAGCCCACAGTCGACCAGCTCCTCCATTGCCTGAGGAAAAAAGATAGGGCAGAAAGCCTTAGCTCGATGTAGTAGTCAGAGAAGGTGTAAGCAAATGTGGAAAGTTCCAGAAGCAATTTTCTACCCTGTACTTCTCCAGAGATCATCATGGACTAGTGTGTACATGACAAAGAGAGAGATTAATTAACACTCAGGTTTGCAGTCAATTTTGAAACTAATTGCATGGCCTTAGACCAAGCCTTACCCTCCCTTTTATTATTATTTATTGTTTTACCCCACTCCCAACCTCCACCCCTCCCCCTGGAGATATTATTTATTTGTATTGTCAAAGGGTTTCATGGATGGAATCACTGTGTTGTTGTAGGTTTTTTCGGGTTATATGGCCATGTTCTAGAACTCTAGAACATGGCCATATAGCCCGGAAAAAAAACCCTACAACAACCCACTATTATTTATTTATTTACCATATTTATATACCGCCTCTCTCAGCCCGAAGGCAGAAGTTACATTTGAAATATCAGTCTTAAACTCAATTTTTCCACTCCAAATCTTAATACATTCTCTAAATAATTCCTAACTGGATCCCACATAATCTTAATTATTATAACATTTTCTATTTTATCCATATTGTTCAATTTACCAATTGTCATTTACACATTTAATGTATTAATTACATAATTATACCAATTTGTCAGAGTCCACTTTGTTTTATCTTTCTAACCCCTCAATAAAACTATTTACATACATGCTATTAATCTGTAAACCACTTTTTCCTTTTGCACATTATACATTCCTGGTACCCTTGCATGTAATACATTTCTATTGTCTATTATTATTTCAAGATTTAATATTATATTAATTTCTCCTTCAATTGTTCTCCAATACCCCTGTATTATATCACATTCTCATATCATGTGATAGGAGCCCCCCGTGGTGCAGTGGGTTAAACCCAGGTTCAAATCCGGGGAGAGCACGGATGAGCTCCCTCTGTCAGCTCCAGCTCCTCATGCGGGGACATAAGAGAAGCCTCCCACAAGGATGGTAAAAACCATCAAGACATCCTGGTGTCCCTGGGCAACGTCTTTAAGGATGGCCAATTCTCTCACACTAGAAGCGACTTGCAGTTTCTCAAGTTGCTCCTGACACAACAAAAAATATATCATGTGATTAAACATATTTCTTTGTTTACAACCATGCCAACTCCTGCCCATTAACTCTGGTAAAATCGTGAAAGTTGTGCAGGAGTCTCATACCATTTTTGTAGCATTTTCCTTCTGCCTTCTTTTAGTACATTATGTTTTCCTTTACTATATTACTTATTTCCCTTTGGATACAAGCCTTACCCTCCTAGCATGATCTATCTTAACTATTCTGAAACAAAAGAAAAAATGCTATTTACTGACTTAAGCTCACATCAGGGGGAAAAATGGTAAAATGAAGCTAACAAACACACTTTTACAGGGATTAAAGATACAGAACCTCTTCAAAAGCAGAAAAACCAAAAATAAAAAACCTAGTTTTTAAGCTCTCTAGGAATCTATAGGTCTTCCAGGCCAACTCTAGGAATCTGTAGGTCTTCCAGGCCAACTCAATGGTACCTTCCAGAGGAGAAGTATTGTATAGAATATTCTGCTATATACCTAACAGCTCTGCTTGACCAGAGGATAATACTGAAAATTACATCTTAGAACTGAGCTTTAGAGTCATGCTCACCTCCCAAGTGTCTAGAAAATTGGTGTTGTCTGGGATGACCATGCCTTCCTCATCCTTAGGTGAGAAATCTTCTCCAGGCTGTCAGAGGAAAGGACAACAGTTTTGGCTACCATTGTATACTAAAGCACACACATACTGGAAAATTCATGTGGAATAGTAGAGTAGCAGTTCTCAACCTTTCTAATGCTGCGACCCCTTCATACAGTTCCTCATGTTGTGGTGACCCCCAACCATAAAATTATTTTTCATTGCTACTTCATAACTGTAAGTTTGCTACTGTTATGAATTGTAATGTAAATATCTGATATGCAGGATGTATTTTCATTCACTGAACCAAATTTGGCACAAATGATTTGCCCAAATTTGAAGGGGGGGGGTTAATTTTGTCATTTGGGAGTTGTAGTTGCTGGGATTTATAGTTCACCTTCAATCAAAGAGTATTCTGAACCCTACCAATGATAGAATTGGACCAAATTTCGGCACACAGAACTCCCATGACCAACAGAAAATACTGGAAGGGTTTGGTGGCATTGACCTTGAGTTTTGGAGTTGTAGTTCACCTACATCCAGAGAGCACTGTGGATTCAAACTACAATGGATCAGGACCAAACTTGGCACAAATACTCAATATGCCCAAATGTGAACACTGGTGGAGTTTGGGGAAAATAGACCTTGACATTTGGGAGTTGTAGTTGCTGGGATTTATAGTTCACCTACAATCATAGAGCATTCTGAAACCCACCAATGATAGAATTGGGCCAAACTTCCCACACAGAACCCCCATGACCAACAGAAAACTCAGGCGACCCCTCTGATACCCTCCTCACAACCCCCCCAGGGACCCCAACCTCCAGGTTGAGAAACACTGACTTAGAGCGTGTTTCAGACCTCCCATTCCAGGTGGTGTCAAACTTTTGATACCTACAATCATGTCTTTTGTTAAAGAAAATAATTCAAAACACACCTGAATTGGCAGGACTACATTTTCCCTTAGTTTTCTTCTAGCTCTCCAATTCTATGATTTATAAAATTAGAAATCTGTGTGTGTTTCCCAAAGGCAATGGACAGCTCTCCAAACCACAGAGACCCATTGTGTTTTCAGAAATGGAGACTCATCGTGAGGTCTTGCACTTCTCCATCCAGACAAGTCATTTGCCAAATTTTCATGCTTCCTGCCACATTTAATGTTCATCCCCAAGGAAAGTAAGAAGGTGATAATGGCCCACAGTTGGAAAATTTCCTTTTCTTTCAAAGCACAAGTCCCGCAATGCCTCGGAAAGCATGTGCCTGTCATGGGTTTCTGGAAACTATAACCTAAGACAACTTATTCTTGCAGTTTTTTTTATGTGCTTACAATACCTTGAATCCCATAGGAAAATGCATGAGGTAGAGATCCAAGTAGTCCACTTTCAAATCTGCTAGAGAATCCTGGCACGATTTCTTAACAAGGGGTTTTTCATGGGAATTGCACCAGACCTGCAAAGGAAAAGACAGAATCCACCAACACAGTCAATGAAAGTAAACAACAGG